TATCCTAAATTCTCAGGTGGTTTTCTCCCCTTGTTTGCAATATAATTCTTTCCTCCTCTCCTAAATATGTACTGCAGTATGAAACAGCAAATACTTCACACAGACTTTCACTTTACCAAAAGGTTATACGGAAACAAAAGCAAATAGAGGAGCAGGTTGGTTTTTTGTATGGATTCCTTGTCAGTTTTGAAGTCAATCACAGACCTGCTAGCAGTTCGGAATTTCTAAAAATCACGTGTTGGAATTAGAAATATTTTTCATTTTTTTTCCAAATGCTTTTTCTTTGCGAAGGCTGTGGATTAACTCAGCTATTCCTGTTTTATAGCTGGTTCATGAAGACTAAGTGCCTTTAGTCACACCTACATCACAGATGTGAACATACACAGCAACTATAGGAAAGCTGCCGTAATACTTGGGGTGCCTGAATCCCACAATATATCACAACCCTTATACCTCAAGGTCACACCCTCCTCCGACAGCTTAATTCACTTTGGGACACAGAAATGCTTTAAATATATTTCTAATTATACATTGTATTTTAAATATATTTTTTCAAATGGCTGTGTAAGAGTAAGATTCATATACACAAAATGATAATACACATTGTAACTCTAGACAGCCATCACGTATATATATAAGGAGATTAGAATCAGAAATATAAATAAGAAAAAAACCCAGAAATACAAATAAGTGGGGGAAAAAGTGAAACAAACGTCATGAGTCCATTTAAGATTGGTAGTGCATACAAAGTATTTCCAGTTGCGTGACTCTTGGGTTACATTTTTTTCCCACACAAATGAAACCACTAATAAGCCCTTTCAGACCACAGCCTCACCAACTGGCTAGCAGGTGGGTGAAGTGATTCTGTCTCTCCTACTCAAGTTGAGAAAACTTTCCATCTGCTTTGTATCTGCATGAAATGTTCACAAATGTGAAGTAATACACAGTGGACTAAAAAATAATAAGCTCAAGAAGAAAAATAATGAACTTGATCAAAACTGGAAGAACTATGAACTCACTTCCACCCTAAAGATATCCAAACAACCTAAGGACTCTGTTATAAAAATGAACATCGTGCTCTGAAAACAGGAAAGAACAGCAAGACATAAATCAAATACAAATATCATGAGGTTGTGCTTCAGAAAACCGCATGACTTGTGTAAGTTTTTGTGTACTAAGTTCTGTTCCTACAGCCCTTTACAGAGCTAGATAACTCCAGGCAGCCTAAAGGACATAAAACACCCACGTGTCCATAACCAGCATAGGTCTCGTTAGCAAGAGCTCAAGGTGGCTACCTGATTAAAAAGTGAAATTTGACAGGTAAGAAAGAAATTAGCCATACTCTGTACTTAACAAGGAATAGGAAAGGAATTTTCATGTGAATTCGAGATGAAACAAAATGCCAGGAAAGGTATTATGAAACGTTTACTGTTCTGAGGTGACAAAAACCTTTTGTCAATGTAAGGTTCACAAGCGCGGAGAATGGTCTGTGAAGAGACGATCAATAAGGATAAAAACATCCCCTCGGGTATGAAGAAATTATTAGATACCATGGAGCGGCCAGAAGGGACAGAAAACTGAAAAGGAAATACAAAATTGAAGGCTTTGACTCCTCTCCTGTATTCTTACGAGGTATTAGTGTAAAATTTGCCCAGGCTGTGGTCTGGAATCAGATGTACAGTCAAGCACATCCTTCAGCTGAAGTCAGTTAACAGTAACGTACCAGGGGACAGGCATATCCCATGCACCTCCAACAATGTGCATTTTGCATGGGAGACAACAGTGCTGTGACTATTTTAAACAAACATCAGCTCTAAAACCTGTAAGAAGAGACGGGCTTTGCATCTGCAGTGGACGTCATCAGGTTAAACATTTTTCCTGACCAAGTATATTCTGCACACCTACGAGCATATGGTGGGCATAAAGCTTTAGCGTTCTTCCAGTAGCAACGCAGACACGGGTAAAAGAGAGCTGGGACCTCTGTAATTTAGATTAATTGCTTATTACGGGTATGGGGAGAGGTGCCGCAGGAGTACTACAGCATCAAATAACAACTGAGAGTGGCCATTTAAGCCGATGCAACGCCCCGGCCCTTGGCGCTGGACCACGGAGTGCTTTACCTCCACAGCAGTGCCTGTTCCTCTCTGGCTGCTGACAGTACAAGGATACCGTCAGGGATCTGACTGTGGGTCTCCTTCTCAAGGATCTGCTCTCCTTCACCACCCTTTCACATCAGTTACATATTTCTGCACGTAAGGCTACAGCAAGACCCAAACCTATTTTAAGGCTGCCTTCTCATTTTTCCCTGTCAGTCTGCGAGAAGGCGATGGTGGATGGACCTCCAGTGCTCAGTCCCCGGCCAGGAGCAGTACCAGGCTCTTGCTGCAGAAGGAGCCAGAAATGCCTCTCTGCAGGACACAAAGGGGGTCTGGAGCTAGCTGCAGTTTTTCAGCCAGGTCTGAGGTTCTAGATTAGTAAGTTTTGGGCGATGGTTACATGGGGGTGATCATGGATTTCCATATCTGCATAGGACTGCCCAGCACCCCTCACGTTGTCATACCTAATTCTTGGTCACACTGAAGTTTAAGGATAGCCTGGGTTGGGCTGCAGAGACTGACAGGGGGAGAGTGAGACGGAGAGATCATGGCTCACGCATTCCCTGAACTGCAACAAATGCAGGGAACGGCTCGGGCTCACCCATACTGGTGTGCCCACCACCTGGACCCCACAGCCCTCATCTGTCACTGGGGAGCAAGGAGCTGCAGAGAGGGAGAGGTACTGCACTGCTTCGGAAGGCAAAGGGCGCAAGAACATAGCAGTGGAAAGGTAATTGGGAATGAGGGAATAAAAGTTGCCTTTGACGTTCCCCTCGTCAGAAACGTGCTCCACATCAAAGCCAAAGCCACAGCCTGCCATGAGAAGCATTTCACCGAGACCTCACCAAAAGCAGCTGTGAGAAGTCCCCTACCGTGTTAGCAGCCCCCTTCCCTCCCCAGGCTGTGCCATGGAGCAGCGAGCTCGGCATCACGGTACCGATGTGCAGCCCCTGCTGCCCGCGCCAGTGAAGCACATAATGACGGGGGAGCAAAGAGAGCAAGAGAGAGACGTGAGAGAGCAACACTGCGCTGTGGTGCTCCTGCGCAGAGCTTAGCAGGTGCGAGCAGTACTCGGGCTGAATTTGGTCTCCATCAGAGGATATCAGCTTTTACTGGCTATGAACAGGTAAACTGGAAAGGATAGTCCAGCGTCATTTTCAGCTTCGCTGTGGTTCAGCTCCCTAACTGGAAGGACAGCAATCAGGGAATATTTTGCTTCCATTTGGAATGCAAAACATGTAACACTGGTTTCTACAATCAAATCCCCAAACCAAAACATGACAGTCATGATTCCCAACTCCCCTATTCAGCAGATTGCTGCAGTATATCCCTATAAAATAACTATTTGCACCAATCATTTGCCAAGCAAGGGCAGCAAGATATTTAGAAGAAATGCGCTTGACTGAAAAGATAGTGTTTAAACAGTTAAACAGTTTGTTGTTTGTTTTTTTTTTCCAAAAATTTGTTGGCTTCTTTGTTTGTTCATTTGTTTTCTGTTACCTGGCAGGTTAACAGAAATAATTGCTTCGGTAAGCATGTTGGTTTACTATATGTTAAATGCGCACCAATTAAATTACTGAAACACAATTACTGTCCAAGCAGTCTTCTCTCATTATATATTTTTTAAAGGCAAAGCCCATTAGTATGGCTGCCTTCCTCCACCCATCTCTGCTTTCTTTTTCACGTCTCTGGCGTGGCAGGAGGAGGTAATTAGAACAGCCAGCCTGCAGCTCAGGATGCAACACAACGCCAGGGGCCAGGAAGACAGAAGCGAGGTCCCTGTCACCTGCACAGCCGGCTGCGGTATCAGTGCGCCTCTTCCCGCTGCCTTTGTTCCGTTTCCCTTCCGTGCCTTCCCATTCTATTGCTGTGGCGAGAAGTGTGCTGTGTTACAAGTAAAGGTCTGAGAGGAATGTTTTGCTGTGTTCCTTTTCGAAGCCTGCCTCACGGCAGACTCCAGCCCACTGAAACACTTTCCAAGACATGGGTCTCACACAGCAGCATGCGTTTCTCCCTGACTCTGCCTGCTTTGCGCACAGAGGATTTTGCACGAGCATTCATGCTAAAAGTAATTTTACATCTTTTCAGATCACTTCAACAAGAGTATGACATTTTTTGCATTATATAAACCAATTCACTTAAACCCAACTTAACTAAAGCTCTTATTTCACCACATCCCCATTATGTCCTTAGGTGTCAACACACTCTTCAGTTACTCTCTCTCAATGAGATAATTCTTATCTCATCATAGTGATGTCCCACAGTGTGTTGAATAGCAAACATTATAAACAAATGTTTTAAATATAATTAGGAATATCGCACAGTTTGGAAGCAAATTCCTTGTTAAGGCATTGATCTAACAGGGAGCGTAAGGGCATTTTCAAGTTTGTGAGTCCTACTGAAAGCAAAACGATGAGTCATATGATTAAAGTTCACATAACTTGTCAGAGCAGAGCATAAGAATGTAGGATATGTACTTGGACCCAATTCAGAAAGATACTTAGGAACATGGCTAGCTGTAACCTGCGAAACCCTTGAGCACTTAAAACACCACAGAAGGTCAGAAGGAAGTTCACATGATGGCCAAATCTGCCATCTGTGTTTTTCTCCCAAACCTCTGCTCAGTCTTACAATGGGTTTGATAACCTTAGCACAACAGCTTTTCACAATTTGAATAAATCATAGCATATAATTAATAAAAATAACAGTAATAATAATCATCATCACAATATTAAATCCTTCTCCCAAAGGGATAGCCAGGAAGCTTTCCCTAGCCTTCAAGATTCCCAACAACTACAGTTAAAAGTTGACGAAGAGGATGAACAAAGTAAACAAATTCTAATTATGGAAGATGAAGAAATCAAAGACATTTATTTATGTGCAATGTTAGATCTAATATGTCACCTTGCCGCTGCATTGGTGATTATTTTCAGACTGCTGGGATTACGGATCAGCTTATCCAGGATGCTGACAATCTGCTCAAACTTGGGTCTGTTGTTTCTGTCTTTCTGCCAACAGTCCAGCATCAGCTGATACAAGGCAGCTGGGCAGTCCATAGGAGGTGGTAAGCGGTACCCTTCATCGACAGCCTTAATCACCTGCACAAGGATAAAAGTTTTTGAAAACTTAAAGGTACTTAACTTGTTTTTATCAGTTCTGTGAACCACAGTAACATGGACATTCTGTGTTTAAACAAATGTGTTTATTCACTAATTGTCTTGTCGTGCAACGCCTCTGGTTATCTGCAAAGTAAACCAGGCGGTAAATTAGGCATACAGAAAGGGGAGTTAAGATACAGTATGTGACTTTGAGGAAGGTGAGAGTCTAGAAAGGATCTCCAAAGCTCACACTTGATTGAACTAAATCCATAAACAAAAGCTACAGTTAGTAAAGTGCTTATTTAACTACGCCAAACTTCAAAAGGTCTTGAACATCTCTCGTCTGATCACCCTTAGCAACACACGCTTTCCACACTCTCCAGTGGACACTGCACTCCGCAGAAAGCCAACCTACCCTCTTGTGAGACCCCTGAACTGAGAGGTGGAAGGCCTTATGGACAATCTCACAGGGCCAGAAAATATTTTTGAAACTTACCGCGAGGATAACTGTACACTTCCTACTAGGCAGTGCAGGCCCACTTCCTTTAATTTGTCTAGATAGACAAATTTTTTCTAGATTGTATATCATTTGTCTAGACTGACAAAAAAAAAAAAAAAAAGCCCAGAATTTATGCTGTTAGAAGCTTTTTAATACAACCTTTTCACTGGAGTGTAACACCTCTTGATCAGTCCTACAGTATATATTACACCTTGAATAAAACCTCAGTGTATTCCAAGTAGAAAATGATAAAGCCGTATTCTGATAATTTTTCCATTTTATCTGTATCAGTTAATTCAAAAGCAGGAAAAACTATTCTGAGTCAGAATAGGGATAGGAAAACAGTCCACAGTTTAAGCAGCCATGAAGCAGAAACACATAAATAGGTTAATCCTATTTCTGACTTTATTGTGATATTATTAAAGGCTAGTATATCAGCCTACGTAATATGATTCATTAATTTCCACAAACAACAGAAAAACATTCATGAATAATTAAAAGAAATACATAGCTTTTTTGAAGAGACTTGGGTTCCAGAGGTACTAATCTGAAAGAAAGTTTTCTTCTCTTTTTCCTTGTTTAACATAAAGTAGTATAGAGAATGTCTGACTACATCTATGTTACTGACTTTTTTTAATTTAGTATCAGTAACGATAGATACCAATCCCTTGGAAGATCTATTTGTGTTAGTGACTGTACTTTAGAAAATTTGGTTCATAAGTAACTCCTGTGAAATAAATCTGGGACTAATAAGACAACAGAAAAAGAACCCAAAATAGATACAATAAAAATCTTATTTGGGGAAATGTTATGCTGCTTACAAAAATACTGGGAGAGATCCATTAATCATTTGGATTGCAGGGTTAGATAGTTCACTAACGTTGCAAAGAAGCCTGTACTGGAAGTCTTCTAATCAGTTTACTCTCCTCTATTTTATCCATTGATTACTTCCAGAATTATTTTGATTTCATTAAACTCTTAGTGGAAATACTTTGCTTCTCTTTTTCATAAGCTCTGAGAGCTTAGTCTGTGTATTTGATGTTTACAGAAAACTTCTACAGAATATTATACAAGTGGAACCAAAGGGGATCAACAGAAATTTAGGAGGGTTTTCTAACAATAAGCTAAGGAATGTAGAAGGCAATGACCTCATTGCAGCGGAATTGTTTGAATCATCCTACAAGAAAACCACCAGCGTGATAAAATTCTCTAACACGTTCCCTCAGAGGTCCAAAATACCCTGCTAGAAAGATGCTGGCTTTTTATTGAGTTCGTTAGACCTTTTACTTGACTAGGAAGACTTGGCAATTTTAATTTCTACATCTTATTCAATGTCAACGTCAAAAACTCACAGCCACCTGGTTTCATTATGCTTCGCTTCCTTTCACAGCTTGATCCTTTATTTGAGAACATAACTCAGATAACAATATACTCACATCCTGGTTGGACATCTCCCAGTATGGTCTTTCTCCATAAGACATCACCTCCCAGAGAACAATCCCATAGCTCCATGCATCACTGGCTGATGTGAACTTCCGATATGCAATGGCTTCTGGTGATGTCCATCGGATAGGAATCTTGCCCCCCTAGGACCAAAACAAAGTAAATCAGTCCACGTGACTGTAATACAATTAATATAATTTTGCATTAATGATTATTTTAGCTCTGAGATTATCAGTTATCATTATATTGGTGTAAGAAACAGTGTAAGCTGGAAAATGCTATTGCCATGTGTCATGAAAGCATCTTGTGCACTATACAGAGTAAAATACATTACAGTGCAAAATCTACTGAAGCTATAGATATATAGTATAGTATAAATACCGTATGCATGTACATGTATATACATATATGCACACATATATATTTATGTGTAGCATAATATGCACAGATCATAATAAATGGTAAGTTAAGTACGGTTGATTTTCAGTTATAAAATGTTTGGAAACTGACAAGACAATCATACAGCATTAAGGATGAAAAAGCTAATACGAGCTCCTTGCTTACATACTAGATCCCTTTGCACAGCACAAGAGGGCTGGATTTGGCTATTTGTAAGGTATTTCACTTGAATTCCCTGTTGGTGTGGAACCTGCATGGTTTCAGAATGTTTTCTAGGACATTAAAGGAAAATGAGGGGCCACAATGTTGCTCTGTTTCACTAACACCAAACCTTCAACCGCATAAGGCGGTGACTGTGATCATATGCACGAATTTCCCATTCCACAGCCGCCAGAGACGGTCACAGAAAGACAGATTCAGATGGGGTCATCTGTGCAGAGGGGAGAGTGCAAAAATGTCATCCGGGGAACCGGTCCTAAACATTTTTTACAGTCACAAGAGAAGCAAGCCATTGTGAAATGATGTAAACTTGAAAAGAATTAAAGCTGCAGTTACAATTAATGGTGCAGTAAGGGGAACATCCCTCTCTGATTATGGCCACCACTTGGTGCTGTAGGTCAAATTAGTAAAATGCACACAAGCAGCCTCAGGCTGAGTTTCTTCAAGATGAAACAGACAATTTCCAATGGTGCCAGCTTTAACAGAGGTTTTTAAGACTCCGATTTGCGAGTCACACATGAGAAAAAGTTCTAAAAGACAGCAGTGCAAAACTTGTTACTTAAGGTAACTCTGGAGTGAACACATTTGAACACAGAAAACTGTGAGAGTTTAAAGTTGCTTCCAGTTCCAGGGATGGACAACATGTACAGGGATATACTCTGAAGATTTCACAGTAGACTAGCTATTTGAGGTACCTCTGCAACCCCCCTTATACTACAGTCATACACCTATCCTCACATTAACCTGCGTGGGAAGGCAGTGCTCTTATTTCCATGGAATAATCAGCAAGAAATAAAATGTAAAGATATTAATGCGTTGCTTACAGTTCCATAATGTGTACCTGCACTAAGGGTAGCCATAAGCTCACCAGCTTTAGATTAACTGGCTTGGTTAACAATAGAAATGCGGATGTCAGTGTTAATTAGAAATCTAAATACAGCCTAAATACACCGGAGCCTAAGTATCTGCAATTTCATGGCTAATATTGCACAAATTAGATTAAATATAAGCAATACAGCCAGACGTGACTCAAGCTACAATTTAGACCTCCAAAATGTTACTAGATATGTCTTAGAGGCTTGGCAAAGGTCAAAGGAGGAGTCTCTCTTGGCATACAGTTTTTCTGGAACCCATCCTATTTAGCAGACTCCCTACCTTAACCAAAAGACAAACCTTCATCTCACACACAACCCTTAAAATTAGCTAAATTTCCACATTATTTGTCGATCAACAAATAGGACACAGAAAATAAATAGTGGTATTTTAATCCACTGTTTCATCACAGAAGTCAGACTGGATCTCTCTTTCAAGCTTGGAAATCCATATGGTGATGTTCTTTAGTCACAAAAAGTATATTGTATTTTTTATCCATTATAAGTTTGTTCACAATTCCCAGTGCTGCTCCACAACAGTACTGAGAACATAAAAATGATATAGTTTTTCTCATATGCTATTGAGAAGCAATAGTATACCCACTTTACAAATGTCCAGGGTCCCTCAGTGAGTCCAAGACACAGCCAAGAAACAAGGAAAGCTCTCCTGTGTCCTAGTGTTTTCACAACAAATCCACTTAAACTTTTAGATGTGGGGATGATAAAGAAATCAATCCCACTTGTTCAGCCTTTTTTCTACACATACTAGTAGAGTGAACTTTGATTTCCAATAAAGAATGTCAGTGCTGGGGGAAAGCCATACCCTAAATTTACACAAACAAAAACCCACCACCATGAACAGACAACGCTTCCAAATCAAACATCTCCCGCTCATCCCACAGGCTCAGAAGTCTCCCACAAATCGGAGCAGACTTACAGAGCAGCTGCAAGGCCAAGGCGCCCAGGCGCTGCCTGCACTGAGGAGCGGGTGGAGGGAAGCCTGGGCTGCACCCCAAGGACACCAGTCCCCCCCAGCACAGACCTGCCCATGGGGTGCTCACCCACCTCAGCCCACCTCAATTGCCAGGACAAAACTGCCTCTCTGCTACACCTGAGATGTAAACTGCAAAGGGCTTTTACCGATCAAACGCAACCCCGTGGATCACATCTGGAAAGGAATGTGTAGCTCATGGGGCTGCTGGAGTCCAGGCACAAGGGGCCACCACCATGCCCCATGGCTAGAGGGGGCTTCTGAGCTCCATGTCACTGCCATTGCTCCCACGGGTGAGCATGTCCAGCAAAGGACCACTCCAGACCAACACTGGGGTTTGGTTTGAGATGAAATGTTTCAAATTCTGGGCCAGGTGGAGATGTAAAAGAGGGAAGTCTTGATCCTTGCTGCTTCAGATGGTAGCACTGCCACCTCAGACAAGCCTCAAGCCTCCTCTCACCTCTGCTGATCCCTCCCCTTGTGCCCGAAGGCATCAGCACTTCTGAGAAAGAGACTGCACCATTCCAGTCGAAAGAAGCTGAGATACAGAGCTGGATGTCGTGTAGCCAGGCTGGGACTCATTCTTCAGCAATTGCTTTGGCTTCATTTTGAATAGAGGGATGGCAGAACATACGCCTAGGACATGCCACATAAGAAAGCCCTCAAGGCAGGGAGCAGTTACTTTGTTTTTCTTGCCTCAGCATAGTGGCTAGTTCTATGAAACACAGAAGTATCCTTTTGGAGTTTTCAGAATCTTACTCGAGAATCTGAATTTCTGTGGGTGGCTTCAGGCTCACTCTTTTAATTTCATGTTAAGACATGAAAATGGAGCCTTTCTTGCCGAACCCTTAAGAAATAATTGCCAGATGTCACACGGAAAAATGTGCTTATGGCTAGAACATGAGCACTTTAGGTAAGGGCAGGAAATATCATATTTGAGAGAAGGTCTTTACCTTTGTAATCTTATGGAAAAAGTCATTTAAACAATTGGAGGAACACATTTACACAAAATAACATTAATTAGTCTCCTAATATTTTGGGATTGCTTTATTGCAGGTTAAGGAAGATTGTAAACTCAATGAAAAAAAGTTCTTCTGGCTTTGCTTGTTTTAGTGAAAAATGAACGTACATCAACCCTGGATTCCGTTACAAGGAAATACATTTTCTTCGCTAAATCTCAGCTGTAACTCTACACAAGTCTACAGATACAGGTAGCATTACTGTAAATGAGAGTAAAATAAGGAGAGTATTAAACTGTAGCTAAAAAAGAAATCAACTGCCACTAAATAGTGTAAAACTACAATTTTGTTATTCTGCTACCCAATTTGACACAAAAATGTCAATCTTATCTTTGTATTTAAAAGAGGACTTTGTTGTCTAATTTGTTGAATAATTTAAGAGCAAGAACAGCAAAAAAAAAAGTTTTGGTAAATATTTTTTAGACAAATAAGCATTTTAACACAAAACAATTCCCCCCAAAGGATTATGCAACATTCACGTTTTAGCAGATGTCCAAATATTGATATATGCAGAAAATCTGAAGAGTCATATCAAATTAGATGCACAGTTCTCTATTGCTATTACCTTTGAAAATTATAAGGCTTGCTGTAATTCAAGTAGTCTATTTTGAAATTAAAACCCATGACCATTCGAGCATTAGAAAGTCCCTTTTCGCTTCCACCACTTTTGAGAAATACACATCTCATTTGAACAAATATCACCTCCTCAATTTTCTGCTTTGACAGAAATCAGGATATTCTTTGCAATATCCTTTGCCAGGATTAAAGATATCTTACATAATTTACCTTTGCATAAATTAAACCAAACACTTTCTCCTAGGACACAGAGTTCAAGCTAGGAAAACTAACCTCCCATACTTGTTTCTTTACTCATCGATTGTTCTTTACCCCCTCTCCCCAATCTCCCAATATTTAAAATGAGAGTAATGATACCTGCTCTGTAAACTGCTATCATGAAAGTACTAAGGAATCCTACCTGCTTGGCTTTTTAAAATTATGTATTGTATGTCCATTAGGCTTTCATACAATTTAATCTTTATCTGCTATCTCTGTTGCTTGTCCTCCACTGGAAAATCTAAAACTCTAATACTATTGGCTGGTATTGCTGGGCTCCTACCCTTCAAAATTAGTACTATTGGGACTGAACCTGTAAGACAAACTTGCTAAATGAAAAATCATTATAGATATGCCTAGGAAAAACGTTTGCCCAAATCTGTTTGGTACAGCCTTATCAAGAGAAATCTACATGTGCACACATCACTAGCTATTGGTAATATATATACTGATTATTTTCTGAAGATAAAGACGGGTTTTATATATTTTTGTCATTGTGTCCCTTTGAGAGCATGCTCATCATGAAGCCTGAGCTGCCTGAATTTGAGTAGAAAGAAAGCATTTGTATTAGAAATTGTAGGAGTTTGTTACTGCAGCTCAAAATCCCAGGCAGTCCAGGTCAGAGAACCACTCTCAGGGTTTGAAATTAGTGAGCCAGCAGTAACCAAAGGTTCTATCTGCTCTAGATGGTGCTGTGATTCCTACAGTATCTGGCCGTTCAGCATAATTCATCTAAAGTCAATGAAGTCCTCAATTTATTTCTAGCGCGTCTGGCACTCTGGCACAAGGCAGCTGTTTCCAGGCCTTCATAACCCAATGCAATATTCTGATTTATAATCTCTTATAGGGTGACTGCCATAGGCATCTAAGCCACAGGCCTGTGGAGAGGAGAATCAAGAAAAATGGATTCTAACAGAATTATCAGAAGAACTTGACAGGGAAACCTGAAGGTAAAAGCCTGACATTAATTCATTACATGAGGACTTAGGCTAGTTCAGGAGATATCTTACTGTTACAGAACAAGATGGTTTCATGTGAGTGAGATGAGCCTGACTTACCCTCTTAAGCATCTGAAAATTACCCGATGCTACTTGTTCATCCCTTACTAATGAATATTTTATCTTGACATTATCTCCTTCTCGAGTGATAAATGATAACAGAGCTCTGCTTCTCATGTTTATCAGGCAAGAGAATGTGTAGGGTTGCTTTTTTTATCACACCCTTCAAAACATTCAGACCATATTACCACATTTTTTTATAGGGAATGAACAAACCACGGCAAATTCCTGTCAAGCACCAGTTGCAATAATGTGTGCATAACAGAAAGGACCTGCGTGCCCTTCCCCATGGCATGGACTGGAGCAGCACCTTGCTGTGCCCTCCCTGTTCTGGCACCGTTACCTGCAGGCACAGGCTACCAGAACACTTGCCATCAAAGCACAGTACTTTTTGAAGTGATGTAGATTTAATGAGAAGTTATCCATGCAAATGTAATAACTGGACAGTGTTTTACATTGAAATGCCATGAACACCAGTGATGTATCCAACTATGCATTTAAATAGTCAAAGTTCGTCCACTGATTACCCAAATATTATGTCTTTGAGAGACATAATTACAGTCCCTCTACACATGTGATGGTTTAAATTTACTTCCACTTCATACTGTCAGTAGTCCACCTACTTGTCATACAGATATCTAAAAATAATAAGAATAAAAAGAATCAATTTGACAATGACAATTTTAATACAATCTTGGCCTTTCAATTAAAAGTGAATAGGTACAGAGAACATAGATAATTACAGTACATCCCCTCCGGCACAAAAGCTCAGTAAAAAAAAAAAAAAAAATCCAAACACTCAGTCAGTCAGCCTAATTCACATGCTGGCTTCTGCTTCTGTAAGCAGGCAGACCACAGGCTGCCAAAGGCCTTTTGTGGTATTGAGTCAGTGACAATAATTCAAGAGGTAAAAAACGACCCTGTCAGCTAGCAAAGTTTTCTTACAACTCTTGATTCCCTGTATTTCACATATGCACCTGTGATCTTTGCGTTGTCCTTCAGAGCTCTCATACAATAGTATGAATGTCACAGATTATGTATTGATATATAAAGGGATACATACATTATTGATATATGAAAGGATAGATGTTCATACCCTTTATGCAAAGCTTCAGACACAACTTCTGAGAACAGAACAACATAAAATTTCACCCAGTCAGTGGTGCGTATTGGAAGCCTGAAGGGCTGACTGGGCTTCTTGGGGGTAGACCAATCCAAATTGCAGTTATGAATTAAAGCAATGGAATTATTCTCAAGTTTTGACATTTAAAGTTGGAAAATAAGGGTAGAAGAGGAGGCTAAACAGATAAAACATCTCTTTGCAGCTAATTGTGCAAATTTCCCTAGTACCTCTGATATTAAAATGGAGAACTGGGAGTGGGAAGAGGTGGAGGGGAGGCAAAAGTCTCTTCCCAATAATATAATATGCACTCTTTAGTGTTTCAATGTTTGTAATATGCACTCTTTAGTGTTTGAATGTTTGGAATTCGGTTATAACTTGGTTTGTGGAGTGGGGTTTTTTTTTTCCTTTTTTTTTTTTCCCTTTTCAGAGATCCTACTGAGTAGTTGTCATCCTTTAGTTGTAAAGGCATGAAATTAATTGAGATGATACCATTATTTTAAAAAGTGGCACTATTTTTGCTTTGGTTTTACCATATAATTAGTGCCTGTGAAATGCACTAGAAGCAGCCTAGGAAATGATCCTGTGTTTTGCGATACGACTATACAGCAGGAACACGAACTTTCTTCCAGTGGACTGGAGCTCTGGTTCACACTCATGGTCCCCAGTTGTTTAAGCTAGGTTATATTTGAAGGTTTTAATTATCTGAGCATCTTCCTGCAGCAGTTTGCATGTACACCATAAAGGCCAGATGGAGTTTACTGAACACTGATGATTGCACTTTACAAAATAGTTTCTTTCCATCTGATTTCACAATCTAAATGTAAATAGGCAGGCAGGCTTAGAAAATAGGTGGCAGACGAAGAGGAAGAAGAAAAAGAAAAAAAATCAACGCTGCGCTCGGCCGTAGGAAATTCACAGGTAACACTGGCCAGGAACACTGAGACCCTGTGCACCCTGGTTTGTCCCAGCTCACCCACGAATGTAAGTCACTGACGTTCCTTTCATTTTCAGGGAAGCGTGCTTCCCTTATAAAGCTGTATGCCATGCAGTCTGATGCATCTAAGTTAACTATGACTGAAAGTTTTCTTCAGCTCTTTATGTGAATACGCAAAATGCCATTACTAAATTACAGATTAGTTTGCATGCCCAGATGAATTTTGGAATAAGAGGATTGAACTTCAAAGCCTGGCAGAGGTATGTGTCCGAGCAGAAGAACAAGTGCCAGCCATGAGGCAAAGCTGTGTTGGGGGTAGAAGAAGACATAGAGACTTCTCACGCATGGAGATATTAACAGAAACCGCATGTGTAAGAAACATGAGATAGATATGCTGTGCTTGGTGCTAGGGATTAGTATCCCTTTTTGGGCATCACATTTAAGGAAAATGTAGTTGAGTTGAAAAGAATCTAAAAGATACCAGTAAGAAGAGTAAGTTTGGAAACATTTTTTAGAAAATAAAGGAATGGAGGGACGCGTGTGAAAAGGATGGCAATTTCCATGCACGTGAGCAGCTACTTTAAAGTGGTGATCGATCACCTGCCTATGGGCAGTAGCGGTAGGACACAGAGTAATTGCCTTAGCTTGCAAGCGTACGTCCTGGAGGAGGGAAGTTAAATATGAGACTACATAAATACTATATCTAAAACTGTTTACCTCAGAGACACTAACACCCATTACTTTCACAGGAGTTTTTAAGAAGAGGGCAGGCAAGCGTATCTGACAAGGCAATAAACCTCTGGCTGAATTACAGACAATTTTCTCTTGAGGAACTCTTGAATCATATTAATATTTACTTATGAATGCTGCACCTATACTGAGCATGAAAACTGCTTTCTCCTATTAATGCCTCTTTATATTAACCACGACAGATCTCTGCAGACAGTTTTCTAAAGTGGTATATATTGCATATTTTTAACAACATGCCAAAGCTTATCAGAGGTCAAAGAAAGCACTGAAAGGTCAAGTAAAGAATAGAGTCTTTATGCCTGGTAAGTTATGAAGGCATGATTGATAAATATGTATCTATAAATGTATGCGTATATAATGTATATATAATGTGTAAGAAAACAGCTAGGATTTCTTTACTCATTTGTCACACGTTATTTTATTTCAATCATGAAGAAGGTAGCATGCAAACTACCACAATAATTGATTGCTCCTGTCAGTGATGAGGAATGAAGGAAGGCCTAGAAAAGTCACATTAAGATTTTGCCAATACATTCTACTCTAATCTGGTTTGTACAGTGAAGAGGAGAGGAGTACTAGGCATCACTGCAAATTACACTTGACTAAGATACTGGAGATTCATGCCACTTTTTCTAAAGTTAACAAAATCCACTTTCAATAGGATTAAAGTGAACAACCAGACATCCCAGTGTAATATCTACATACACAAAGCTAAATGTATGCCTTCAAGGTTTCCACAATAAAACAGAAGTGTTATCCAGGTCAGAAAAAGAGGTGTAGCCCAGCTGTATTTAGAAGACACTGTGGCTTTTCTAAGGCTCTAAGCCAACAGTGGAGCTTCCAGGTAGCTCTTCAGGCAGGATGAAATCCAGAAAAGAAACAAGCAGCAGCCTACACTATGGGCAGTCCCCTTTCTGATAAAAGCTTCTCTATCTCAGGACGAAACAGTCAGAGGTACATCTCCTCCTTGATATCATTACATCTCCAAAAGACAGGTACCACTTTGTATATATCATATAAGAAGGAGAAAGAACGGCAGGTTTGTTACATTGTTAAGCAACATTTCATTTTTTGTTTTACTCAAGTTTTACTCAGTTAGGGGTACAACAGCAGGTATAATGGAAATACCCTTGTAGAACAGTGATATCGTTAAGCGCCAATCAGACATATCTCCCACCATACTAGAAGACACAAAAACTTTAAAAAAAACATATATTGCTGGGTATGACTTTTTTTTTTTTTTTTTTACTGGGCGGGAGCTAAATCAGCAGTGTAACAAAACCTGCTCAAAGCACCCATGATGTCTTACCTTACTGCGTGCCAAACTAACTCAGGCCTTAATTGTGGTATTCACTCCTTTACACGCCCAGCAGAAAGAAACTGAGCCATGAATTTTGCATACTTTAAGGAAAACAATCTACCAACAGAAACCATATTTTTTTTTTGCCTTCTAGCTTCTATGAAACATGAATTAAGAAATAGCTGTGATGAGTTTATGATTTACTGAACATCTCTGGGCATGCAAGACTGGATGGCCTCTGCAACACAGAGTATAAGCCTCAAGGACTCCCTCAGATTTCAGTCTAACTTTATCAAAACCAACAAGAATTTTAAAAGGCTAAACAAACGCAGAAACTTACCCTTGTGGTGTAAGCAGCTTCTGGGTCATCTTCCAGTACACGAGAGAGACCAAAATCTGAGACTTTGCATACCAAGTTACTATTGATGAGGATATTACGAGCAGCTAGATCTCGATGGACATAACCCATATCTGACAAATATTTCATGCCAGATGCAATCCCTCGAAGCATGCCTACTAGCTGGATGACTGTGAACTGGGCATCATGTTTCTGGAAAACATTTGAAATGTCATTTCAGAGATTTCTCATGCTCCTTCTTGCACAGAATTTTTGATAAAGACCCTGGAAGCTCATCAAGTGAAGAGCTCGTGAGTCAGGGGTTGTGATTTAAATGTGTGGAACCACTTTGCTCTGCAGAGGATAATCTCCCAATCAGCTGAGGGAAGGAGACAGATTTTCAATTCAGATAAAAATTCGTTTTTCCTGTTCTTGCTGTCATCAGAATTTTAATTTCCTAGATGGGACCTGTGTGAAATCAGCACATAAATCTAAATTGTGTATGCTCATGAGACTGGAGTTTTAGGACATTAGGGAAACAGATGTCCAACTTCCCTGAAAAGACAGAGGAATTGTTAGTGAAAATCCCAGCCTCACCCTGTGGACTAATGAAAGTTTTCTATTACACAAGCATTTTCAGTGCCTTTCAAATTCCATTAAACTTAAATTTATTCCTCAAAATTTTCCTCAACTTGAGGAACACAAAAATCACATAAACACACTGTCACTTAGCCTAGAAACCAATAGTTGCATATATTTCTAATTGTCTACTTCTAGACACGTTTTAAATCTCCCAGCTCTTACTAACACAGTTTGTTAACATCTAGCTTTGACACTGATATATAGACACATAGACGACAGGACAACAGTATGCCCTAGTGCAGCTCTCAAATGAATCCCCCAGTGCTGTAAATGTATCATGGGCAGCTCTCCAGCCCTTCCGGCCACTTCTCCCAGAATTTTATTAAATACATGGGAGCTGCTCTGCCATAAGGGGTGAGCTCACACGAATCAGTCTGCAAGACGGATTGCATTCACTTAATTTTTGATTAATATACTTAAGGGTGATATTAGCACCGTAAACATTAGACAAATATATGGCACAACAGATGCTTAAAGAGCCTCTCAGAATTCCCTTCCACAAAGAAATTAATTATTATAAAAGACTCTTGGCAGTTCCTTGTTATGAAACCTTCTTTAACTAGAGCCAACACAAGAGGATTTATATAGACCCTGGAAAAGATTTAGCTAGAAATCAGAATAAGGTTTCTAATCACAAAAGGAATGAGACGCTGAGATAGCCTTTCAATGGCAATGGGAAAATCAGACTAAGTAGCTTTAAAAGGCATTTAGAAAAAGGGTTATATTGCCTGGGCTGCCTGTGATATTAATGAGTCACAAGGTTCTTGTCTACAATTCCACACAACAGTAGTAAAAAACAAAAAAAAAACAACCACCAAAAAGACCCCACACTCAAATGAGTGAACAAGCTGTACAACTGTTTTGTACAGTCAGAAATTATTCTCCTTTCCTCAGAGCTTTCTTCAAGGATGTTTAGCCTGAACAAAATATATACAGTTCAGTACAGATATATTTCATTCAGATATACTGACACATTATTTATATGTATTTTACATGCTCCAGTGGACATCATAACATATATAGTACATACTGAAACTAAGGTTGACAATGCATCCCCTTTTGGGGTTAAGCGTCTAGTTCAGTGTGATGAATTTGGGGGATAATGTCATTCAACCGTGGCAGAACCAAAGCAGTCTCCCAGCCACAGCTGAGTTTGCCCTAACAAATTAAAATTAAACTAGCGTTTCCCCTCAGATGGGATTTCATTTCTGCTACACTTCTTGTTTTGCCACAAGTAAATCTTGGTGACACAGGGAGCGTTCAAATTTTTTTAGGCTCGCTACCAACTTTGACAGAAAACAAAGATAAATCAACAACAGTATTAGTATGTCTAAGGTTGGGGAAAGAAAACAGGCCAACAAAGTTTGTTAGCAAAACATTTCAAACACCCTCAGGTATGGGATTATTCCCTAAACTTTTCACATTTAGGGAAATGGCTCTTGGATCAGTATTATTGGTTTACTGATAAAATTTCCACAAATCCATTCACTTTGGAAATCGCTTGCTAAGGCATACAGGCTGCCAACCAATAAGCATAACTGTATTACAGTAGTAATTCAGTCCTCAGAAAAACAATTTCCATTTTTGCGTGCCAGAATGCTGGTTTGTTTTGATTTATTTTTTTTTTTATCAATGTGCCATACTAATAAAACAGAAATGTTCTTCATTTTGGAATAATACTCACTTCGAGCAGTCAAAATGGACTAGCAGATCCCTACCTGGCTTCCGAGCACATACCAATGCACACAAACCCAAATGGAAATAATGAAATATCAAGCAACAAGAGCTGATGATGAATCAGAGTACGGTGGCAGCAAATTCATAACAAATTCAGAACAAGAGCCAGTCCTGCAGCATGTAGTTCTCTATTGCACTTACCCGTAGGAAGCTGTCCAAGGAACCATTTTCCATGTATTCAGTAACAATCATAACTGGTTTACCTGTGAATATATTACAGGGGTCAGGCATTTAAAATGAATTCATAATGATCAGTAAAAACAGGCATTTCAGAAGCGTGCCCAAATCTTCCAAATCCCAAGGACAATCTCACATTTAGAAAGAAAACAAAAGATGCAGGGGCAGAACCAGCTCTGTCCACAACATAATTGTGATTTCACTGACATCAGCAGAAACACAGTCATTTCCGCATAAACTGATACAAATTTTAGCAGCTCAAGTCCCAAGACAAAGTGAAACATCCTGCATTTTCAGCATATGGTGTCTTATCCACTATTGTTGAATATAATCCTTCCTGTAACTGTTGAATTTATGCAATGAAGTAGGTTTATTCTGCCGCGCATTTGCCCCCGGTTCCCTCTGGAAGGGAACGGGGCACTTGCTGTGGAGGGAGTCGCGGTTTCTCTCCAGAGGCGCCCTGGTCTGCACAAGGGGGGTGCAGGGACCACGGAGCAGTGCACAGGGCACATGGGCACGGTCAACATGTTCCTCAGGCACTACGGTAAGGGAGAGATTAAAGAGTGTACATGGAGGCAATAGCAAAAAACCTCACCCTCAGGAGGGTGTTTACAATACATTTAAATTGTAGAGCTTCAGTGTTTTCCTAGCATAAGCCAAGAAAAACGTCGGGGTGGGGAACAGAGGTGGAAGGGAAAGCGCAGAATAGAAGTAATAGAGGGCATTGGAAAGAAAAGCAGAGCTCTCACTGCCAGGGGTTAGCCCTCTTTCCAGGCAGTCCCGTCTCCCTCGGCGGTGGGATCACTGATAACACGAACCTCCCCTCCTGCCCAGCACGACTGAGCCCGGGGGGGCGAACACACCTCACCCACGGGGCAGCGGCGTGCTCTAAAGAAACAGCCCCGCATCCTTGGAAAGCCTCCAATATATTTCAAAACTTGTCCGTGAAGTTTCAGACCAGTTTGTGAGACCATTCTTTCTACCCTAAGGTATTTTGTAACATAATCAAGATTTTACATGGAACTCTGACATGTTGGGAGAGAAATGAATGCAAAAAATTAATGTGATTACGGTAAACTTTCCACACAAAGGTCATTGCCCTGCTAATATTTTAACATCATATGGATTTTATTATTTCATAATATTTTCTAAAGCTTTGTTTATTTTCTCTTTGTGGTAGAGGGAAAGGTGGGTAAGAGCATGAAGTTACTTAAGAAGATGAATTATTATTTCACATCTAATACAGGAGGGCATCTGACCATAAAAGCATGACAAAGGCCTGCATATTGCATAGAGATATTTTAACTTTCAAAATTGAACAGCATGAGGCTTGAAAGAGGTACCCAGTATAATTAAAAGCAAGAAAGTCATTAAAAAAGCAAAGTAAATGGTAACAACTCCTTTTTTGTTTGGTTGGTTTTTGTTTTTTTTTTTTCCCCTGAAAATACAACTCCTACCAAACAGAAATTCTTAGAAGAGAAATATTAATTTCAAAGAATTAGGTTAATATAATGAGAAGAAAATCCTTTGTCCTCTTTGCATGGGTTAATGGGTTAAAATATCTTCTTTCTGCTGTGAAAATGATGCGTTATACTGTGGCAGTCACACTAATGGGTAACCAACTCTGTCATCCATTACTTATTAGGAAAAAACTCTTTATCCAAAACATTAATCTCAAATTATATAGGCTTCGGTACAGATAAAAGACCTAATGATGCAAAACCTCCAAAAAATTTCTGTTGCTTCTGTTGCTGAAGAAATACGCAGTGCAAACAAAAGTACCTCACTTACTTACACTGTGTGCGTAACATTCACCCAAAGGCACTTCTGGTAACACACAGAAAATGCTGCTGAATCTTTCAAGTAAAGGGCAGCACACCAATGGGGCTATCCAAAAATTTCTATGATAAATCCACCTACATTGAAACCAGGAGACACTTGGCTGGTTTTTGTATAAGCTCAGTCAATTTTATGACGCAGAGGACTGAAATTAGAGATGTCTGAGTTACAACTTTCAAATTAATAAGAGAGCATCTTCCTGCCTTGCTCACCCACACTCTTAAAGCCCCAAGTGCAAGGTTTCACCCTCCTTCAGTTGGAAATGTGTCCATAATAAGAAGCATATGCTCGGAAGCAACATGGTGCACTTTTAAAAGAACATTCTGCATTCATTTATCAAAGCACAGCCGTTTATACATGATAACAACTTGTGTCAACAGTGTTGCCAAAATTTATTATACTAACAGGCTACAAATTGCTGTAAATTATTAGTAAACTAAGCAGAACATGTGTGCTGGTTATTAAGACTACTGCCTACAGCGTGCCCAGGAGACTGGTGTAGCAGGAAAGTGCAGAACAGAAATAAATGTGGAGCAGGGGAACAGCTCGGCGTTGGAGCAAAGCACTGAAGTCTTATCTGGTGGCTGCACCGGTGGGTTGTCCCACCGGCAAACCACAGCCACCCCCAGCATGAGAACTTCTCATACCAAATGGTCCTCTCATAGGGATCGTGACAACTGCAGTTATTAGGACTTGCTTCAGAAGATCTGCTTAGTATGAAAAGCCAGATCATTGCTAAGGGCCACCTGCCAAAAAGAATTTGGATAATGAAGAAAAGGTCATACCGCCTGTTTATCGTGCATTACCTGTACTGAGAGCGATCCAGCAAACACTCCACAGGCTCTCTACCGACTGTACACAAACTAACACTTCTGAGTGTGATTTAATAGCGATCATTAAAAAATATGAACACTTGCTAATTTGTTATTACAGTACATTGGTTTGTTTAAAAAAAAAAAAAACACACCAAACCCCACAACCTTCATCTCCTTCTATCACCCTACCAAATGTTAAAGAAAATAAATGATTATTGTTACTTGTATTTATGCCATATAATTTTACTCAGTAAAACAGCTACAAATAGTTCCAGAGCAGTTTTCTCAGCTCCTGTATTCAAGCTATCTGAAGAGGGTGTTGTATCCCTGAGGCTTTTATTGACTTCAGCTGGGAATATTCAGAGCTTGCTCTCTCCTACTTAAATGTGACAGGCAGCTGGCACTCCCAACCCCCCCGAAACAGACAGCAGTCTGCTGTGAATACCGCTGAGTAGCAAACTTACTAATAGTCACTTCTACAGAATACAGAAATAATTAGTAATGCCCATTCAAAAGCAACGCACAAATTCCTGCATGCACAGCAATTAAATTATTTTCTCAAGTGCCACAGAAATAAAAAAATGTAACAAAATAGATTTTAGCTCAGCTGCGTACAGACTGATGCTGGCGTTTCAAGCAATTTTGGGACTGCAAATGTTATTCTGACTGCACAAAGTGTGTGTCATTAAAAATCAGAAGATAACTTGGATTTACACAGGCAGATGTGGCAGTCCTTTCCTAATGGGACTGCGAGACCTAAGCTGAAGAATACCTTCTCTGTTATTTAAATCAGCAAAATGAATGACTTTCATGAATCACACTATCACACCTAGAGAAAGCATTAGTATTGTAAATATGTCTCTTCATAACATATAGGGTTTTACGTACCTTTTACAAGTTATTTTTAGACCCATTCTTCTACATTTTTTGTTTCATATAATTTATTGCACTAAGCTATGAAATTCTTTCATGCCTCTCTATATTGTGAAACCTTGAATCACGCGATTTTAAAAACAAGATTCCTTAAAACCAATAAAACCACCTATGTAACAAAGGATTTGGCATACTTCTACCCAGTTAAACTGGAAATGTCCTTAGCACGTTCCAAGCAGTTCACTGAAATGGCAAGGAGCTGCTTTGCTGGCAGAGTCCTCTAGGAAGAACCAGAAAACATCCTACTAATTGTTTCTACTCCCCTGAAAAATTTCAGAGCATTCCTGATTATTCTTTTGTTTTTTGTTTTTTAAGAATACCTCGTATAAAATCTTATTGATCTCCTACCTAGTAACTACTGCAGGACATTAAATTTATCACCTTATGCTGCAACAGAAATTTAGAAAGTCTCTGAATGTACATCCTAGTTGTGGACTAATTGTGGTACTTCATGCAACCTCTTTTTTCTACCACTAACTATTTCTGTCTTTCCACCTCAAGGCAGAGGACAATCAGCAGCACAAGCAACAAGAGTCAGAAATTGCCTAAATGAGGCAGCATCACCAGCACCAAATCCCACCAGCTGCTCAAGAGGAGAAGAGCATGCAGGATCTGAGTGGCTTCGAGAAGGCTGCCGTGGGTGCCATAGCAAAGCTGGGTAAGAGCTCTGAGACCAACACCACCATCCAGGAATACAACTTTCTTTTTTATCTTAATGAAAGTAGAGGTGGAGGGGGTTCTTTGAATCTGCTATTTTTCCAGGAAGGTACCGAGTGTGGATGGGAGTTTGCAGTTATATTTTTGTCTCAAAACAAGAAGGTGATTTGTTATCATAAACATAGACAAAAACATGCCTTAAAAAAAAACCCTCAAACAAGCCCACAACACCCAAAGGTGTTGAAAGGTGTTGAATAGACATTTAGAAAATGTCTATTAGTAAAAACATAAATATTATCAAAGACGTAAAATCAATTTTACTACTAACAGCTTAAAGCCCCAAGATTTTTTTTTGAGATTTTTACTAAGAGTTATAAATTCTAGAGGATCAGCATCTTTAGAATGGCTCATACCAGTACATACTGAACATCACAAGGAGTATTTTCCCTGCATAAAAACCATATAGGAAAACGTTTGGACTTATTTATTAAAATACTAGTATCAGTTGCTGTAGCCAGGTAGGCTGTTCATTAATTTGTGCTAATGATAAAATCTAATGATTTAGCTGAAAGCAGAACATATTGCTTCAGTGCAATTAGGAAACCTTAGGACATCAGACACCATGACTCCCAACAGTCTATCAGCAAGTGCCTCTTGGTCACTTTGTACCAATTTGTAGCTCTGGATTTTATTAACCTGCCAGTTTATTACTGAGCTGCACTATTCTTCACAAATGCTCCTTTTTATCCATGCTCTATAGATTATTTTTTTTCAAGAAGATAATTTTTATTTCCCATTTTTTCCCCATCTCATTAACCCAGGGTACTGTTTTTAAGTTCTCAGCAGCCTATGAGCAGCAGGACAGTGAAGGTCCTTCATCTGCACTGCGGGCTGTTCCCTCCCACACCATTCTTCACCGGATCCATCAGGGTGCGTTTAACTAGTGCTTGCACATGGATAATAATTTTCCAGCTTTTAAGGAAATACAATATACATTGCAAAAGCCAAGCTGTGTGTTTCTGCTGCTATCTCTTTTGCAGGCTATTTGGTACATGTTAACAGGGTTATAACATAAACATTTCTGGAAGGGTTTGCAGAGCATAAACACGGATGATGCAGGTTTTTTTTATTTGTTTTTGCTCTTCCTTGAAAGATCAGAGAGTCACGGAATAAATTAGAGTGGACGAGACCTCCAGTGACACCCCCCATGCAAAACAGATGCCCCTGTCGTATCTTACTTTTAGTGACGACTCCCTCTAATCGAATGATATTAGGGTGGTCAAACTGTCCCATGATGCTTGCTTCTCCCAGGAAGTCCCTTCTCTGTTTTTCTGTGTAGCCAACTTTCAGGGTTTTGATAGCCACTGAAATTTCCTTTTTAGAAGGCAGCTTTAGGCGCCCACTGCACACTTCTCCAAATTCCCCTAAAAAAGTGGGAAAACGACAAAAGAAAAAATGTAGTTATTTCATGGGGATTTAAGAAAGAAGACTTAGTATTCAGCAAAGGTCCCTGAAGTGTGATGTTTACTGGTGGGCCACAGACTGGAGCTCCAAAGAGACCTTTGGACAACTACTTAACGTTTCCATGCTGGTGTTCTCCTACCGTCAAACAGGATAATGTCACTTCTTTACACTGCATATCCAGATGACTGCGGGGCAGAGGAATGCATAGATGTCACCAGAAAATTTCCTTTTTGTTTCAGTTGATACACTTTGAGACAATAGTAGGAGGCGTAACTGATTAATGCAGAAGTGTCAGAACAGTCATGCATCCTTGTGAACATTATACTCTTCATTTCTACCAGACATAGTACAGTTCCCAATTATTCTACTTATTTCAATTAAAGTAGCAAGATAATTCATAACAAAAGAATTTATCTACACAGCTGCAAAGAAAAAAGAAATCCATACAGATTACCTTTGTTCTATCATTATTCAGATGGATCTAATCATGCAAATATATACTGTCACTATGGGACCTGAGAGTCCACCATGAATATTGTGCCCACTGTATACTGTGTAAAATTCCTAAAAAGAAAATGGCAGATATCAACTGCATGTTTACTTTTATACAATGTGGTTTATCCTTTGCTATGTAACATCCAAGAAGAATCCACAGGGAAAATTATCTTAGCATTCAAATGAGTAAGTATTAAATATGTTGACAAATTACTGGAAGAAAACATCTCACTTGAAAAATTCTGCATTTAACTAATGATTACGTAAAGCATACAAGGAAGTTTCAGTATCTTAAAAAACAATTGAGCAGCAACTGACTTTTGTTTCCCAATTATCCAACTCCCCATCTTTGCTTTTATATGACATAATAAACTGTGAATACTACATCCCAGTTAAAAATTACAATCACAACTTTTTGTCTCCTTGTTTTAATGACAAAATAATTGAAATAATGAAAGATATAATAAAAACAGAGAATGGATAAAATACATAAGAAACACGATGGCAAGAATTGCCCTACATGATTATTTATACTTAAAGACAAGGAAAACACCTTACTTGAACAGAGAAGAAAAGAAAGGTGTTTTTTTTTTTTCTTTCAAGAAACTGGAGGGTGTTGCTAGAGGGCTTTAACACTCATTTTCCAACAAAACATGCCTATTCAGGTTCTTTGACAAAATACACGAGATCAAAATATAAATAGCCCCTCATATGCCATATTTTGTCAAGTGGCCTTGCGTAGAAAGTTTGACTTGGAAACAAACCAACCCCATAAACCTAAATCTAGCTGGCATCATTTTTATGCAAACTGGGAATTTTGTCTTTATTTGTGAGTGAAACATCATTGAAAGAGTGATTATACCGCTTACATATGAGCTTTGCCCAACTTAATGTGTAACAACCCTAAATGCAATAGCATTACTATGCATCTAAAGAGCATAGGCTCTTGGAGCTTATTTGCCTACAATGATCTTTATCTCTGCAGCTGATTGTTTACGTTAAGCAACATCTGTGAAAACTGAAATGACCAAAACCCACCCATAAGATATTTTTAATAGGCAAATTTAACTCATCTTGCTTTTTATAGATTTAATGCTCAGAAATGTGTGGCAAAATGACAGCCCTTCACCATTGACTTCAGACGTGATACCACATGGGATACATTTTAGGTGTTAAATTCATCCCATTTAACTGCAAACAGAAATTATTCTTTTGTCAGCTTGCCACCAATATGGCTGGCATTAGAGTCCATGTCCCATGTGCAGCACTGCGACGCAGGAATGATAAAGAAAGTAGTAACAGCAACCAGAATCTTAAAAGCCAGGGCTGTACATTCACATTCAAAGCTGAAGGAAGTGGTGTTATTTATATACAACAAGGAACGGGAAGAGACAGACATGACAAGAGTTTTGGCTCATCAATACCATGGTTATAAATAAGACGGACACCAACTCCTTTTTCTGTACACAAGAGGCAAAACAAAGTAGTTGAAAATTACAATAAAGGTCAGTTAGATCAGGAAAAAAATTCTAACAGTAAGGACACTTGGACAGTACAAAAGATTTTTTTAGGGAGGCTATAAACTCCTTTATCTTGGAGATTGTAAAGAATAAGCATCTGTCAAGAATGGTACCTAACAAGTTGTTTTGGGCAAGCGTGTGGACTTAATGACCTCTTGAGGTCACTTTTTGGCTTTATTTTCTAAGGTTTCTCTGTTAGACAGCCAATTTAACCAAAAAATCCTGAACAAATGTGTCATAGGGCAATGACCTTTCTCTGTTGCTAACCCAGCCTAGATTTGAGTCAAGAACGTAGAAGTGGATGTCACCATATCTTATCAGCAGCTGCTGAGCTGCTTCATCCTATAGGCACGGTACTGTGCTATTAATGTAATAACAAAAAAAAAATAATTAAAACCAGGGTGTCTTTATATACATGCATACTACTATAATAGCATTTATGTTACATCCATTGTTTCTAACATTATTTGTATCCAACTAGGAGAAGAGCTATGCTGGACCTTGCCCTTACCAACAGGAGGGGCTGGTGGGGAACATTAAGTTCAAGGGCAGCCTCGGCTGCAGTGACCATGAAATGGTGGAGTTCAATATCCTGAGGGCAGCGAAGGGGTTGTGCAGCAAGCTCGCTACCTTGGACTGCAGGAGAGCAGACTTTGGCCTCTTCAGGGATCTGGTTTGGTAGGGTATCATGAGATAAAACACTGGAGGGTAGAGGGGCCCAAGAAAGCTGGTTAGTACTCAAGGATCACCTCCTCCAAGCTCAGGAGCGATGCATCCCAGCAATGAAGAAGTCAGGCAAAAAAGCCAGGAGGCCTGCGTGGATGAACAAGGAGCTCCTAGAAACACTCACAAGCAAAAAGGAAGCCTACAGAGGGTGGAAGCAAGGACAGATAGCCTGGGAGAAATACAGAGAAACTGTCCGAACGACCAGGGATCGGGTTAGGCAAGCTAAAGCCCAGGCAGAATTAAATCTGGCCAGGGACAACAAGGGCAACAAGAAAAACTTCTGTAAGTATGTCAGTGATAAAAGGAAGACTAGGGAAGATCTAGGCCCTCTCTGGAATGAAACAGGAGACCTGGTCACTCGGAATATGGAGAAGGCTGAGGTACTCACTGATTTTTTTGCCTCAGCCTTCACCAGCAAGGGCTCTAACCACACCACCCAAGTCACAGAAGGCAAAGGCAGGGACTAGGAGAATGAATAAACACCCACTGTAGGTAAAAATTAGGTGCGAGATGGCGTTCCTGAGGGGTTGGGACTGGGACTGGTCCTGTTCAACATCTTTGTGGGTGATACGGACAGTGGGATTGAGTGCACCCTCAGCAAGTTTGCTGACAACACCAAGCTGTGTGGAACAGTCGACATGCTGGGGGGGGATGAACGCCATCCAGAGGGACCTGGACAGGCTGGAGAGGTGGGCCCATGCCAATCTCACGAAGTTCAACAAGGCCAAGTGCAAGGTCCTGCACGTGGGTCGGGGCAATCCCAAACACAAATAGAGGCTGGGCAGAGAATGGATTGAGAGCAGCCCTGAGGAGAAGAGCTTGGGAGTGGTGGCTAATGAGAAGCTCAACATGAGCCAGCAATATATGCTCACAGCCCAGAAACCCAACCGCATCCTGGGCTGCATCAAAAGACGAGTGATCAGCAGGCCGAGGGAGGTACTTCTGCCCCTCTACTCCGCTCTTCTGAGACCCCACTCTTCTTCTTACTGCATCCAGCTTTGGAGTCCTCAGCACAAGAAGGATGTGGACCTGTTGGAGAGAATCCAGAGGAGGGCCACAAAGACAATCAGAGGGCTGGAGCACCTCTCCTGTGAAGACAGGCTGAGAGAGTTGAGGTTGCTCAGCCTGAAGAAGAGAAGGCTCTGAGGAGACCTTATAGCAGCCTTCCAGTACCTCAAGGGGGCCTACAAGAAGGCCAGAGAAGGACTTTTTACAAGGGTGTCTAGTGATAGGACGAGGGGTAATAGCTTCAGACTGGAAGAGGGCAGATTTAGATTGGTTATCAGCAATAAATTTTTCACTATGAAGGTGGTGAGGCACGGGAACAGGTTGCCAAGAGAAGCTGTGGATGCCCCATCCCTGGAGGTGTTCAAGGCCAGGCTGGATGGGGCTTTGAGCAACCTCGTCTAGTGGGAGGTGTCCCTGCCCATGGCAGGGGATTAGAACTATTCTATGTTTCTATGATTTCAGGCTGCCAAGACAGGCAGCAACTCAGAAAATATATTGTGAAAGCTATCACTAGTAACTAATGGGTGTTGAGTTCTGTTCAGACTTCTTAATTAAAAATATTCAATCTCTGCAAGTCAAAATGACTAGTACACTTTACCAAGAGCAAACACGGCTTCAGATCAGATACTAACCCCAGCTCAATATTGTCAGAGCACCACAAAGAGAAAGACCAAAGCACATCTTGAAAACAGAAGGAAGGGAAAAAAGTGCTTGAAATAAGTCTTGTAATATTCCCTTTTCTCTCTCTTTTAATGGTTCAAAAAGCTATATCAAGTTAACTTCTTAAAACTATTCTGCAATTACTGTCAATGGAGACTATAGCTACAATTTCAGCAAGCAGTCCAGCAATAATCCTTCATTTCTGACTGGAATCATATATCTGTTATTCGTTTGACTTTTGGGAAGGTAAAGGTTGTGGCTAATGTCCATCAACACAGTCCCATTTAGCTATGGCTGCCCAATTTAGAACTTGGTTGATTAATCGGATTCCACAAGCGCCTCAAGGCTAGTGGATGCTGCAGGAGACCAAAAGTTGGACCCTTCATAGCAATGGAGCTTACTGTTGCCCGTGAATATAAAATGGGTTTACTTTCCTGTAATGACATCGCTGGAAAAAGCTCACTGGGCAGCCCAACTATGTTAACCTTTGGTTCTTTCACATACAGGGCAGTATGGATGCTGCATAAGCCTACCGGGTCAACACCCATAGTGACATGCAGCTACACTACATCTTTTTCTTGCAAATCATTATTATATGGTCCCAGAAAGAAACAGACTGGATCTTATCAGATATTGTTTGGGAAGAATAAAGACTTGTGTTTGAGTTGGAAGGTGGAAAAGCTGGCACTGATTTTAAGAGATGAGGTTGACAGCTTTTCATGTAAAGCCTTCCTGAAGTGTTTATTTTTAATTATGCTACACACATAAACATTGTATAACCCACCCTGCAGACTGATATGTCTATTTACATGTAGAAAGCAAATAGGTATTATTAGGAGGGCTGTTCATGATATAAATATCTCTCTTCAGGAGATCTTAATTTCTTTTTAAATAGGCTACTTAGTGCACCAGTGACTGGCATTTGCTGTGCATTTAGACCCAGGGGACAAGTAAAAGATGACTCTGTGAAATTAGCTACTCCCTTTACTTTGCTGTGTTTTAAATCATGATTGTACTGCTGTGCACAGAACTCCCTCGGATGGGGAGAGGTACGGAAGCTGAGTGTCTCATAAACCTTGTGAACCTTCAGCAACATTCTACAAGCCCTCACTGAGACACTTGCAAACCTTCACTAAAAGTTCATGGACAGGTAGCCCCTAGATTTTATAAATACTTTGATCAACAAGATGTTATCCTACAATTATGTTTAAACTTTGAAAGAAAAGCAAATGCTTGCTTTCACATTCAAAGCACATACTTAAATCTATCCCAAATCAAGAAAGTACTTTCTGTAGTATTCTCTTGCTATCCAATTGGATTTAAAACTAAGTGGTTTGCTGAACTGGATCCATAAAAACAAGTGAGTTTTTTAAAAAGAAAGAATTACTGTAAAGAAAAGTCTGAAAAAGTGACTCCTGACCACAATTTTCTTATGCCTAGCCTCTCACTAAAATCCCTTGTGTTTTTCTTGAGGTTCTTTTGGACAAGAGTATTTCCTTATTGCATTTGGGTATGTTTTCAAAGCTATGTAAGCTGCCTTCTATTCTCAGAGACTTCTGGCTAAAGCTGTGAAAAACTACTTGGAAAAGTACCTCGGAGTATCAAGATTACTTGACTGACTTGAAGGTCTCATTACTTACGTCACATTTCAATGCAGTTAAATGAATCCCTTCTCAAATCACTGTCTTTCTATAATTTCATTCACACTTGAATTTGTAAAGGAGAAGGGCAGGAAAAGACCAAGTCATTCACTCAAATAAGCCATCGACTCAAGTAAGAGACAGGAAATGCCTTTCTGCTTTTGGGCAGAAAAAGAGTGTTACTGCAGAAGCAGCCTTGGAAGGACTCACTCCAAATTCCGAATGCAAAAGCTACCACATGCTGAATGTGACAGCAGTGAAAAGCAATGCTAAGAATCCTGGAAGCTCCCAGCACTCTATAGCCTGATCTTCATCTGTTCTTCCCTGCCTGGCTCTTCTTGTTGGCATCCCTGGCAACTGTTAATAGGAAATGCTAACTGTAATGCCATATGGAGTTTAGGCTACCTGAATCTGAGTCATGGTCTCCAACAAATGGCTTTATTATATCTTGAGTCCAAGCTTCAATGTAGAGGACCTGCAAGAACCTGCTGTCACTTTCACTGGAGTGGAGCAAAGGACTAATTTTTAAACCACCTGACTTTCTTAGGACATATCCCTTTTTTTGAAGCCTCTCAAAAACCTTTTCTTTCATTTTCAGAGGCCACATTTGGCAAATTTTGGTTTACCTCTCATGCTTATGTGCATTTTGATTAAAAATAGGTCAGAACAATGAGCTATAAAATAAGACATATCATTGATTCTTCTGAATTTGTTTTCTAGATTCATATACTGCATACAGCCCAAGTTTAGAAAGCTAACATTTGTGAACCAAGGCTCCTGAAAGTCATACAAGGAAACATACTGCTCTTGGACTCAGCTTTTCAGTAGCTCCTTTTCTTTCCCCATATTAATTCTCAATTATGTGCAGTAAGCAGAGCTTTGCTGCCTTGAATGAAGATGATGGAGAACAGTGCACTCTTGTGGGGCAAAATTAAAACCAGCAAGGAACAAAAATTCTATCTTTGCAGAAAACAACTGAACCTCATACAAGCAGTTGCATAGCTGCAGTAAGAGAGGATGAATGCTGTTTCTTTTACTGGGTGATTTAGGAGAAGCACTGCGTACAGCAGCTTGGTTCTACATTTTTTCCAAATTAAAATCCTTTCCTGTGCATTAGAAGTCTGTCTCTCTCATCTCATGATTATAATTCACATAGTAAATTTAGAGAGAAGCAAAAAAATCAGTAACAAAAGAACTAGTAATTTTCAATGGATTAAAAATCAATAGTACTTCTCACAAATGCTTTAATTTAGCAGGAAAGCTAACGCTTCATGATATTCTGACTCGATGAGACAATGCCCCTTCACTGCAAGGTGCAAGCACACATCCTATCAGGAACTACATGCTGCATTGCAACATGGACAACTCAGTGTGATGAGACTTTCTGTAATCTGGCTCCTCTGCTACAAAATCTGCTCATTTCGACAGTTTGTTTTCTGTAAACCCAGCAATCTATGGAGTCTGTATGGTTCAGACAATCAGTTATCAGACAGACAACCCTTCCCTCCTAAATCGATAATTCAAATCCAAAGCAGTGACCAAAATCAATTCAATGACCAAAGGTCATTGCAGTCTGATGGATGCGTGGTGACTGGTATGAAATGAGTTTGTGGTTTCGCTCAAGGCATAATTGTCAACAGTCCTTTTAAGGGAAAAAAAGAAAACAACTTCACAGTTGATATCATTTTCTGTGCTGACAGATTTTAAAGAGAAACATAGAAATGAGGCTGAACTCTCTTTTCACTCCCAACAGCGCTGTGTCCAAGTGTGGGCTGACGGGTGTCCTTTGGAAAACTGTCTTACTATCTCCTTTCTTTGGGGAAAACAATAGAACTTTGTGCCCTTAACTTTTCATATGCACCAACGTCAGCTGTAAATATAGCATACTAATTTGAAAACTTTAGAACATTTTCTTCCCAGCCACAAATATAAACCCAAACATGTAAAACAATATATACAGCAAAAAGCTATCTTTAGTTCAATATATCTGATGGTCATTACCTGCTCCAACTACTTTATCAATGGATATATTAGAAGCATCTAGTTCCTTGGCAAATTCATGCACAGCTTGGTTGGGATCCTCATACGTATGTGGATCTACGTAAGTTCTCAGGCCTGGGAGTTTTACTGTATAAAAACAAATTCAGAGAGAAAATGTTACTTGGACTTAATTAATCCTTCTAAAGAAAGCTCATGAGACAACAGAAACCATATCAATAGAAGAAAAAGCTATACTGCTGCTATAAATCAAACAGCTTTTGGTGGGTCTTCAGGAATCTTAATATTGAGAGAAACCAGAGACACTAATGTAGTTATTGCACAGAAATCTGAAAACCAATTTTAAACATACCTGCACTTGCCATATTAAAGTGCTTTTCAAATATTAAAATACTACTCATGCCACTCAGCTTGCTATGTTTAGATGCTGCCTTATATTGTCCCTTTCAAGGTAACAAGAAAGAGGCAAGGAACAAAATGTGTGATGCTACAGTCCACCTGAAAAGTTCTTAGGAATATATTAAGAAGAGCACATTAACTTAAACTTCTTCTTTCAGAGTCCTCGAACAAGATGCGTAAGAAAAGAAAATCATACATGAACAAATGCACTTCTGCCTCAATCCCTCTGATAGTACATACAAGGATGGCAGCCAGTTGTTATTAAAGTCTGGTTCTAGTGCTCAATTACCCAAACATCCATGTTATTATTTTGTCCCCCTCTACAATTTCCTGGCCAGGGATCTTTCTGTTTGCCCAGGGCACACCCTTGTTCAAACGACTGACTGATTTTAGAGGCAGTTTCAAGCTCTCTACACCTCTTCCCCCAATGGTACTGGAGGTGGGAGGAACATATTATCATTCCCAACCTTTCTCTCCAGCAAAGATGCTGAAGGCAAAGCACAGCCTCATTCCCCCTCTCTGGCTCAAGGCCCTGCTTGTGCTTGTAGCCGGTACCTTGTGTGCCTGCCCCTGTATTCATTTTAGAACACAAAGATGTTTTGTTAACAAAAAGTGAAATAACCATTACAACCAGCTTGAAGTTTTCTGCTTTTGACACAAAACCTGCATTTGCTGGACGTGTATTCTAGCTTTCCATAACTGTACCAGTTGGTCTTGTAAAAGATATTAACCACTCCTCACAAGCACTGCCTTAACCCACTCAGGAATATCCTTTCCAGCTTGACATTATTAGACTGCATCAATTTGTTGACTGCTAGAACAGTTAAACCTTTTCTGCTGGACTTACACAGATGGGAAAAAAACCTTTGAACACACCATTGTTTTGTGAAACACCACCAACTGTATGTAAAAAAAAAATAAATAAAAAAAAATCAATTTCATGGAGATTTATTGGCCTCAGAATTGACAAAGAAATGATAAAACTCAGTTCCCAAGCTAATTGCCTTGAAAACAATGCAAACTAAGAGCCACGCTCTTAACGCAAGGGCTGCGTGTGCATGGCATTAAATGCCGACTGTGTTTCCTTCAAGAGCCTGATGATTACAGAATTACTTGCAAGTAAAACAAAAAGTAATTGGCTGTATATTGCTGTTGGTTAAAAATCTTGTAAATGCTCCTTTCCGTCCATGCTGAATGTACACTACAGGCTCCCCCAAACCCCCAATAAAAATAACAACAATTAAAAGCTTCTGCACTGTGGGGTTTTTGGCTGCAGATTTTTTAATGCTGACCCCAGAGGTTCCCAAGATCAGGTGATGGTGACTGCAAGGAGAATAATCCCTTCACACCAATAATTAAGGGCAGCCTGTACAGTAACTGGGTTCTGTCATGAAAAACAGATAATAAACACATGCACATGTGTTAAGCTGTACTACTTTACAGCTCATTCTGTGCAAACATAATAATTTACATTTTCATTTTAACAGCATGAATTGCCCTAAAGGTAGCAAAAAAATAAAAAGGGCCTAGCCAAAGAAGGCAAAGGGAGAGGATCTGAGGAGGTGAAACATTTTTGCTCCTTTGAAGTAATATTATGGGATTTGTAATAAGGCTGCAGGGAATAGTTCATGGCTAGAGCCTTTTTTAAAGTAATTCAGAATAAACTGGCTGAAATAAACCAGCTGCTGTATTTAAGATGCTGAAAGTTTACGACAGCCATGGAAGTTACTTTATCCATTTTTAGTTCATAGAAGCTACTTTCTTATTCTTTGAGAAAGACTGTAATTTAGTAGAATAAAGTTTCAACAGCCACACATGTACATACATCCAAATCCTAACAGACAAATATCTGTAAACTCAATAAATCATTTTCAAGACTTTCTAACAGAAATACCAGGTCCATGATTGGCTCTGTTCTTACTACGCAGTGAATCAGCATGGCACTACTCAGAAAACAGTACATAAATATCTAAAGCCAAATTAAAAGCAATTTAATCCACAGGAATTTAACAGCACTGACATGTTTAAGAATAGTGATTGCAGCTTTCCATTGTGTGGGAGTAAGGAGAGCAAACTCTGACCTGTTATTTGTCTGTGACACTTTTTTTACTGGCTGCTTTTATTTTATAACCTCATTAAATTTGGATGATGAAGCATTAATTCTATGGGCCACATGTAACTGTATAGATTTTTTATTTTTTTTGAGACTAGCTGGTTAGCGGTTGTTGGGCTGCACGAAGCAAACCCACTGTTACAGCTTGTGTATCCCCTGACAGTGCAGGGGAAGGAGCACATGTGTTGTGGATATACGCGCTCTCAGGTCTCTGGAGATAAGGAGGGGATCCAAACTTAAAATGAGAATAATATGAACAGTCAGAGAACAGTTACTCCATTGTCACAGGGATTAGGAACGAGTCCTAATTTCCAGCTACTGCAGGTAAATCCCTCATTAAAATGTTAATTCAATTATATTTTGTGGGGAGGTGTCCGATTATGGTACCAACAGCTCTTTTCTTGCAGGTGGTATAGCACAACCGTTGTGTGCAAAATACCCACATAAGTTAACCTTCTAACATGCTAAGCAATATAAATAAATGGTTCAACATGGTTTACATGGTGTAGCAGGATATTAATCTGGATCTTAAACTGTTTCAAGGACAAACTACTGCTCCTTATTAAAAACATGCTCATTAGACACCAAGAATTCTGTGGGTGAAAAAAAAAAGGAATTTCCAGTCTTGGTGTTTGTGAAGGGCATTATCTTTGCCCTGAAAGGATGAAAAAAAATCCAAAATGCAGTGATCAAAACCCAAGAATCCCCCCTCGCCCCCTATCAGGAATGTTAAACTATGACTTTCCTCTCCTCTCAGCCTCTCCTGCTCCAAAACTAATGTATTTCTATTTTAAAGACAGTATGGATGGAGCTTTGACTGTGATCTAGTCTTCATGATCCACAGCTCCTTTGCTGTGGAGAAGTGCTGCAGGGTTATGCACATTGCAGAGAGGATCCAGGATCGTGGAGGAGCTGAAATACTGCAGGACGACATTCCCCTCCAGCCACAGCAAGCTACTTCTTCCTGGTAGCCAGGACATGTACCCGGGCTCAGAAAATCAACACTTCTTTCCCCAAGTATCTCCTGGGTGGGATCTTGTTCCATGCTGTTTCTTTCACAGGTAACAGCCAAACGACCCAGAGGAGACATGAATAAAGTCCTGGTTTAGCTTTATTAAAAATAGGTACAGAAACATCAGAAATAGATAGGGTTTGGGCTAGGCGTTTGAACACGTTTCACAAGTAGCTCAGAATCCTCAGGATGAGCAAAATCTTACAGCCCTAACTGCATACAATTTTTCTGATACAAAGACAACGTAAGTCAATAGAAAGTCTTTCTTCTTAGTCCTGGATGAGGCCCAAAGAAAGCATAGAGATATTCATTCTTGCAAGTGGGGAATCAGGACTTGAACAAAACATGTTTGTAAACAGAGCTGGATTAAAAAATCCCATTCATTTGTGAGACACTTGTTTAGTAGTTATTATTTAAGAAACTACTCCAAATCACTTTTCAGACTATGCTTAGAATAATTCCAAACGAAATTATTAGTAGGTCAGCTTTGTCAAGCAAACAATTTTAACAGTCCCTTCAGTAGTCATCAGAACAGGTTTCATTGATTTTATATTTTGCTTTGGGAAAAAAATGTTATTTCTTAGACTTTATACAGCTGATAATGAGGAAGTTGGAATTACACTCTGCATTTCAGTAATGCACAGCAGAATCGATATCATATTGCTAACCACACGCATTGTTTGAACATAGACAGTGATGTTTTGCTCGTTACTAACCTGAACACAGATGGAAGAATCTGAAACAAAGAATAATTGTTTGGGGAAAATCTCCTTCCCCACAAGAGAAGAGATAATTCTCTTCCCAATTTCACCTTGGTTTAAGTGAGGTATGACTTTTTTTTAAATTGAAAAATACCAGTTATCTAGAGGATGAATTCCACAGATCTGGAAGCATTAAAAGACTTCAGTAACTTACAATGGCCATTCCCAAAATGTAGTCTTTTCTCATCAGTGCCATGTTTAGACTTCTTGTATCCACAGAATCTACAAGCAACAGAGAAAAAAATTAACATAGAGAATTTTATATGTGAACTGCAGGTGGAAACAGAATAAAATGTTTTCCCTCCACAATTAAATGCCTGTTTGAAAGTTTAATGATATTTACATTCTGTGTGCCCTATAGAGGCATGTTATGTTCTCAGGGAATTTGAGGAAATTGGCTAATGAGAGGATTTGTTGATTTTTGACCCCTACAGTTTAATTTTACAATTGCCTAAGAATGTGTTTATAGCATTTTTTAACAACTGCTGCATGATTGGGGCTGCTAACGTTAGTGGGCTCATTACTGAGCATGAAGCGATATTGGGAGCTCCTAGGCAGCAGACAAAGGAGAAGGTGCAAACCAGCCATGCTACTGCCTGACGACACCCAATTTGCCATGCTCATCAGGGCCCCTCGGGGAAATGGAAGCGGGAGCAAATGTGCAAACCAGACGATAAACTAACCTCCCAATCAGGACGTACACCACAACTGTGAGGAGAATAATGGCTACCGCCGCTGAAATGGCAATCATTACGACCTGGCTATTCTCACTGGAAATGGAGAATGCTGGAAAGTTAACACAAAAATATATAAATAATCCCCCTCCATACAAAACACTCGTTGCATCACAATTGACACTCATATAGGGAACAGACAGATTAAGTCATCACTATATAGCATTTGGTCTCCTGCCAAATATTTAATCTACTAAGTAATTTTTCATCAGACAAATAAATACAAGGGAAGAAAACAAGACACTCTGGCCATCTTTGACAATTTACCAAAGTTGTTTCTGCTACAGCTGATTTTTACTCTTGCAGATTATAGTAACTGCTGTTAAACTGATACTTACATATAAACATATATGTAAATGCAAATATACATACCATGACACACATATATTTTGTCATGGTCAGTAAGGAGTTTTTCCTTGGCAAGAAATCCCAGTCTGTCAATAATCATCACCCTTACTCTCAGTTCTCTGTGATGGAAATTACCTCAATGAATTAATCTTCCCAGTACCCCTGCGAAGGCTGTGATAAGCCATGGCACACAGAAGCAGACGGAAGGATTATCCATGATTAATCAATGCTTATAGAAAAAGGTCTACTTTCTGCCTTATGTTGGACACTTCCCTGCAGTCCAAAGCATGGAGCTTTGGCGCACTAGACTGCTATATTAGACAGGACACCTTTAGATCTTAGGTGTTACGAACAGTCTTCAGCAGACACGTACCAAACTTCACCAAGCATTGCAGAATTAGGTTCCTCAGCACTATGCTTCAAGTTAGCTGCCCAAACTGAGCTGAAAGCTAGCCCTCCCACAAACTGGACAGTTTGTCTACATGACTGCTTGAAGTCACACCATTTCCCTTGGGAAGAAGCCCCTGCCTATTACAGACCCACAACTGTACTCGCATAGTTATGATAACTTGGCAATAGGAATCAAGTTATGCAATTCGATGTCTGTGTAACCTGTACGCTCATTATTGAGATGTGCACAACTGTCTCCTGTTACCTTCCACACTTTTGGTCAGCTACATTATTATTATTATTGTTATTATTACTACTACTTTGCAGAGAAAACTCATTAACTTCTAAATTATGAAATTTGTTACCACTGCAACTGATTTTTTTTTTTTCTCCTTGCTGTAACTTGTCTGTCCTATCTTGAGTTCCAGTTTCATCCAGTATGCCAAAGCTACATGTCATCATAACAGCAATTTGTAACTTTTTTTTTTTTAAAAAAAAAGCTTGTTTGCTTTTCAGAATAAGGGCTGAGGTAGGGGAGGAGCAAGTGGAGATGAAATACATAACATATCTCAAAAATACATGGATGCCTCAAGTGCAAGACCATTTGGCTTATGCTACTCTTCTTGGTTAAAACTTTCTTTTAGCAGAGCACTTCTTGCACCATGGGTTCCCAAGCCTTATCATGAATACATGAATAAGCCTAATGAGCGCATATGAGAATTATAGTCCTTCGTTATGTTATAACTCTGAACAGCAGATACGAGCCTTCTATGAAATTCTGGCCTTCTAAAAAGCAAACAGTCTTTGATTATGCAGTGTTAGTCTACATTGGTAACTGGGTAGATAAACGAAGGATCACTTTTTGATGTATTAAACCACTTCCAGCTTCTAGTAAATAAAAGGTTTGATTTACTATATAGTACCAAGCGATGAGAAAGTAACATTTAAAATTATGAGCTCTATTAAGAATCTTTCTGATATAACAACAGAACTTGTAAAGAATACCAATAAGGTCATCAGTTAAATAATGTTATTATCTAGGCATTAGAGAGAAGAAAAAGAAGTGCCGGACCAGTAAATAACCTCCCCTAGGCCACCTGGAAATGTAGTGACAGAGAGAAGGGAGCCAAACTGCCCAACTCCCTGACCAGCTACTCAACTGCACAACCATCCTTCCCAGCCTCTGCATATGAGTTTCATCTCAAGGCTATGCAGGAGACATCAGCTACACTTCACAGCAATGTAGAGAATTACACAGTGACCCACAGGAGCAATGGACCAACATAATATTACCTCTCTAGGAGCAGGGGTTTATAGTCCATAAGGTTCAGGCCAATGATTTGGAACAGCACGAGGCTGTGAATACGGTTTTCTATCAAACTTCCTCTCTCAGCAGGTATCGATTCTGGCACAAGGCAGAGGTTGGGTAGGGAACGGAAGAAAATACCACCGTGATACTCACGGTATACTCTTTATAGCATGTTTCAGGTTTAATGATAAAACATAAAGTTATATAGTAACGCTACCCAGAAAGACACATCATAAATAGTTACGAGTTGCGTTTACTAGAGTAGAAAGGGAGAGAAAGCAGCCATGCAAATCAGTCAAACTGGGCAGGATGTCAGTATAAATCATTTGAACAAATACATACAATCCGGACTGGTTTCAAATTCAAACTTGCGGCTGTTTGTCCCATATCCAGCTGCAGTTCGGGCTCGAATTTGGAAAACGTAGGTGGTATCAGGTTTGAGGCCACTGATGGTAACATTGGTGCCCTTGGCTCTCAGAATAGTATAGCTTGTCTCTTGTTCCTGCTTTTGGGAAGAGAAAGTATCAGATTAAAACCACACCCTAAAATACAGAAATAAGAGGTGGTTAGTACAAAATTACTACAAATCACCTGGAGAGCACTGGCACATTTTTTGAATATTTATAGCCTGACAAATGTTTTTACAGCCACTCATTTTCAATCAGCTGAAAATCTTTTGATTAGCAAGAAATCTAAATCACCATAGCTTCTACAGCCTAATGTTGTAAATCAAGTACTAGACATGCTGAGTATATGCCATTTCATAGAACCATAGAATGGTTTGTGTTGGAAGGGACTCTAAAGATCATGTAGTTCCAACCCTCCTGCCATGGGCAGGGACACCTCCCACTAGACCAGGTTGCTCAAAGCCCCATCCAGCCTGGCCTTGTACACTTCCAGGGATGGGGCATTTCATTAAATGGTTTTGCATCATTTTGTCCACAGTCTGTAATGCAGCAAGAAAATGAAAACTAATGTTATATAAAAAAGATTTGCAGTCCTACTGCACTGAATTGGAAGCTGTAACAAGCCAACTTAGACATTTTAGGGCCCTGCAGAGCTATTGCAGGATGCGATTTTTACTCCTTGCATTTTACAAGACAGTGTTTACCTTTATAATGGTCAGAAGAGAAACTCCAGTCTGGCTTCTCACCTCAGCTCTGTGCACAGGCGAATATAACTCGTTTTCTATTATGTTATAAAAAGTATGAGACTGATGTGTCCATCCTCATTCAGGCAAAACCCCACTGAACTTGCTCCCGAATGACTCTTGGGCTTTAGTAGTCAGAAAGGAAATGTGTTTGTTCCTTATTGCTTTTTGCTAAAGACCAAGGTGTGTGTTCAGTACAGATGATACACTCACAACCACACTCTGCTTAATAGTCACATATTTCTGACATAACAACTTTTTATATAAAATAAGAAATGGACCATTTTGTAATTTAGTAAGTTTGGATACACTTCACACTGTATAAAAAGCTAATTCTGATAAAAGTATGTCTCAGTCTCACTGTAAGCACATAGTCTAAAAATCTAAGCATGCATTTGGAGCCTGAGGTATTGCTTATTTTACTAAAGCCATCCTGTACCAAAAGAGCATTTTTGGCTTCCTAAAAATGGCAGCTGGAATTGCCTCAGAAAAAAATCTTGGATGGCAGCCACACATGTGGGGACTGCAAGAATCCCTGTTGTTTAGGTTTGCAATGATGAACTTCTTTATTCTGGAGGTGGTGGGGATTTCATATGCTGCCTGTTTACTTTGAACACTGAAATATACTAAAACCAGCGAGTTTTGCCTGGTTGAAAGCAGAAACTGAGTTAAGTTAAGGGATGTCAGATGCAAACAATCTCACCTTATTCCCACTACGTCTTATGGCATTGCATTAGCCTGCAAGGTACTGACATTGTAACTCCAACAACACTAGAGTGCCGATGCACAAGTACAGAGATTGGAAAATACTCAACACACTCATTGCCAAAGCCATCTCACCTTGACGTGAAAAGTTCAAGTGACTAGAGCTGGTTTAGTGTGTTTGCTTGGCAGTGCTGTCTACAGTAAGAAAACTAGGTTTATTCTAAGTTAGTAGGTTGACATCAGAAACTGTTCACTTTGGTGCTACAGAAGGCTAACTACCCTGTTCTTGGCACTCTATGATATAGAAAGAGAAACATTTACACCATAGTTAGGGAAATTGCCAGAATCTCCAAATAATATTCAACATTATGCACATGAGTGATCACAGTCAAGGGAGAAAAAAAAAAAAAAAAAGAAAGAAAAAGCAGCTAAGCCCGTACCTAAAAATTACCATCCAAAATCAAAACCTAAAATAAGGTGAGCTGGACCTAGTCTTCAATTAATAACTATAAAAAATGTTCACCGTGGCCCATTTTCATCACACGCTAAGAAGAAAAAGGAAATCAGCATTGGACCTCCTCATGGTTTCCCCAATACTTCTCTGAAAAAGTTTTCTGTTATAAATTCAGGGGAGAAAACTTACAGGAAGACATTCCAAGGAACTAACAGGGTTGCACAAAATTATTTATTTTTGAACTAACAAAGGCCTAGTATTATAATTTGCAGGCTTTCCTTATCTCATCATTCAGTTGAATGTAGGCAACTATTTTAATTTCAAAGACATAATAATCTTGTCTTTAAAACATAAAATCTTTTGTGTATGCTATGACTGGACATTCATTTTGATCTCACATCAGGCTGCTTTTATGAAACGCAAACATTTCCTTCTTGTGCAGATACATACGTGTAAGGGAAAATATAGTCATGGCCCTGTCTGTTAATAATACGCAATGGAACTTGGAAAATAAACGTTTAAAACAATGGTATGGAGGATGTCATGGTATCTTAGTTTATGGTAAGCTTTTTACACACATATTTTTTAAGTCATTTTTTATGTTACTAGTAATCAAATCAGTGAAACACCACATAAAAGCCCAAGTTTATCTTTCTTGGGGACGGAGTAAAACTTCAGAGATACAGCACTGTAGCTGCCATAAGCAGAAGGAATATACAAAAAGGAAAGTCAGCCTTTGCCAAGCAGAACTTTAATCAAACACTCTGGTGATAAATTTGAACTTGGATGCACAAAGCGTGTTCTTTCTGAATATTTCTGCATAGTTTACCAGACATAGTCTTTACTGGGAAGCAAATCCCACTACTGTTAGCGTCTCATTTGCAAATGACATTTTATAATTTTAAGCTATGTTTTACAAAAGACATATTTTGGATACATTTAACATGTATAGTGGCAGTACTAGTGAGAGTGAACGGTATGTCCTTTTCCAGATAAGGAGAGTAAATATTTACATCATATGAGGAAGAACATTTTCTCCTTTAGCTGTATGTACACTTGAGAAGCCGGACCAGACTACACATCTCTGGGAGGAACCACTATCCCGAAGATACTGCTTCCCCTTATTGCCAGCTGTGAACTGTTCGATACCATGGCTTCTACAAACTTCATGGAGTATACGTGGCCTACCTACCCTGAAAGCCATAATAATAAGAACTTAAAAGCAACTGAGTGCATTTTCATATAATTTACTTTTTCAGCCTCAGAAAGAGCACAAACTAGATATTGTTATTTATTTGTTGGCTTTAACCAGTCTACTGAGAGCACAATTTCAGTGATGGCAAAGGCAAATCTATTTTAGTATTGTGATACTGCAATTAAATTTCACTCATTGTTTGCAGCAGACTTCACCTTAATAAATTGTGGGGGATTTAGTTATCATAATTGCAAGCCACATATTTAAGTGAAGAAATTAATATTTTATATGTGACATTTAGGAGACGCAGGTTCTTTGCGTGACACCATACTCCTTCCAGAGAACATAATTATGCGACCAAGGACAAGGAGGAAACAAAGTATCTGCTTGTCTAAGAAAAAAACCTGACTTTTGTTGTATGTGCACTTTGACAGCTGAGTCAGATAAAATCTAGCACAGCATGATATAGACGGACTAAACTGGGGTGCCATTCGGTACCATTAACTTAACATAAAATGTTATACCCTACCATAAAATAAATGCCTAGAAGTTCCACACAGTATTCCTCTGAAAGAGAATTTTATGTCTTTTAAATGTTTTGAATAAATAGTCACTGGGGCCTCAGAACCAGGCCCTACAGATTTTTACAGAAAACACAAGTCTATTCCAAACAGTGAGTTTGAAAAACTGTTCCTCTCAGTTCATAATGTTATGCATTAAAATCCCACAGGTTCATTCCAAAAAGTTAAAACAGTTTCCCAAAACTGTAGCTCCTATTTTCTCTAGAAACAACGTGAAGCTCTTTACTCTCTTCCTTACACAAGTGAAATCACTGGTGAAAAAAAAAAAAACAACTGACTAGGTTAATTAATTACCCTTGCAGAAAATTATATTTTCCACATCCTTTATGCCACTAATGTATTAGAAAAACTACACGGTATCAAAGTTTAGATACAGGACATTCTACTTTTATCCCAAATCTAGTCTAACATCCTGAATATCAGTAACACGCAGTTATCTGTAAATATCATGTATTCTTTGACATTTGAGAACAACTTAAAGTAAAAAAAAAACCAAAACAAAAAACCCCTACATCTGCATGGAGAAGGCGTATGATAGAATTGGGCTGACCTGTATTAGTCTATTAATGTTGTATTTACTTATTTTTAAAAGACTACAAAAGGTATGGCATGTAAAAATGAAGAGGAAGGAAAAGAACGGCTCAACGTAAATCATCTACCAGCAATCAGGTACGACTTGTCAGGAGAAATACCCAGATTGCCAAGTGTGAAGGGTTTATTTCCTTGCAGCTGCCACTTAACTGCAGTGGGGTTTTTGATGAGCACAACCAAGATGATTTCTGAAGCAGAAAAATCAAACAGACTGGACCAGTTTAAAAAGAAAGCTCCCTTTTCAAAAAAAGGAGGGGAGAGGAGGGGAGGGGGGCTGCTTAGAGATCTCAGACTGAACAGCAGCATCTTCCAAAGGTGTTTGGGAAAGAAATGAAGAATAACAGTCCAGCATGGGCTGCTCTGACCTCAGGTAAGTTTAACATGAACAGAGTGGTAGTTTCCAACATCTTTCAATTTGTAGACCTAAAAAGGGCAATAGATTAAAGTCTCCTGACAACAGCTTTGCTTTTCTTCGTTACCGTTCATAAACCCGGGAGAATAGGCTTCTAACTCCCCACGGGGCTTGCAGACCACACATTAAAAACACTGGTGTCAGAAGGTTGTTTTTTAGAAACCCTTTGTTCTAAATGGTCTGGCTCCTATTGTCAAGCAGTTGGCTCTTTGGTTTAAGAAAGCTGTCTGCTGCATACGAACTCTTGATCACAGACTTCAAAGGGAAAAAACACATGTGCAAGATCAGCCTCGTAAGACTGGTTGTCTGTTTTACGAAGCTGTCTTACGACAACCAGTTGCTCCATAGGACTGGATGTACTCGGTGGGAACAGCAGCCGCATGCTCTGTCTGAGCACACAACAGTATCATCCTGTGCCCCGTGGTACTGGCGCAGAGGTGCCCGGGCAAAGACTTCCACCTGGGGAGACTGGAGGTGGAGCGGAGACGGGGATGCCGCAGCTCTTGGAAAGCACATGTACGGCCAATGGCAGGAAGAGCAGCCAGGTAGGTCTCAAGTGAAGCACAAGTTAATCATGCGGATAAATAACCTGGCCTGTGCAAAACAGGCTGCAGCTCTGGGATCTTTAAGGCGTAGGCTCTTTGTGAGGTAAATAGCTCTTCCAAGCCTTACTAAAAGGTAGTACCTATTTTCTTTTCTTTAAAAAATTGCAAACAAGACAGCCGAAATAGTTCCTACGTCCCTTCAGTGGTGAAGATGTACAAATAAAGACAACCTGGTGTATAAGCCAGTTGTCTTTTACTTCTCAAGCCCAGAATCCGGACTTGATCCTGTTCCCATTGAAATAACAGGAAAAAACCCAAAGTGAAAGTCCACAGGCTACGGCTCTATAAGGTGAGACTGAACTGAAATGTTTAGGAAGCTTTCTTTTTATCGGTAGTACTATGTATGTTTAGATTTTTACGAAGGTCTTTGAAAGTTCAACTGGTCACCAAAAAAAACCCACCCAAAACCAGATTACATATCAATTTGGGAGAAATATTTTCAGAATACGGCCTTCCAGTGCCCGTTCTTTGGCTGGAGATGAGGTGTGGACTATGAGTGCACACGCTCATTGTCCCACTGGTAAGCTCCATGAGAAAACTTTCTAAAGATTAACTGAATCCCCATGGAGCCTTTTTAACAGCAGTTTCTAAGTTGATATTGGCACTATGTCTTCCCTGGTACATATGAAATATAAGCCTGGTGTCTAGACATGAACAGAATTAGTAAATGCTAAATTAAATCATTATTTTTGACATTTTTTCCAAGTTTGTCAACTTTAGTAGCAAGGTATTCTATCAAAAGGTCTCTCTGACCAATCTAAAAATGGCTAATACCACTCTTCACAATATTCACAACAATTTATGGTCTTTTCAATTCTACTCTTTTGTACTAAAAACACCATTTGGCTATGAAGAGTTATTTTTTTCCTAAATACAGATCTATATATGATGTAGAAATCAACACCTGTAAATACAAGAAAATGCCAATATAAAGCAGAACCTATTTAATGTCAGATTTTCCTTGATTTGTAGTAATTTCCATAAAATTTATGAAGAATTCAGTTACTCATGAAAACTGGGAACTTCCATAGTGCAAAACAGTCACTGAAAGGATTGCCCATCTCTTTTCCAAATCATTTTTGTGTAAAAGATGCTTGTGCCACAAGGAAGCACCAACACATGGACGCTGGCAAATAAATGCATGAACACTGACAGCGTAACAGAACTAAGTAAACTGTACTCAAGGGAGAAAAAAAAAAAAAAAAAGGTATTACAGCTTGTCTGTATTACTTTCTATATTTGTCCTGATATGTTTGGGGATGAACTTGGTAGACAACACAACAATATCACTTCATATCTTCATGATGTTCTCCTTACCAAAAATTGAACAGTTTCAGCACTTGGTGTCATTGAGGCAGACAGTGAACGAACAGGGGTGTCTCTGAATACTTAACACGGGCGAGATGCAATAATTTCCTTACAGTACTACCAGCACAAAACCCTCCCCTTCAATCTTTCTCCCCACCTTTTCATAGTATTTGACCTCGTAGTCCAAGATGATCCCATTCGGATGTTCAGGTTCTTGCCAAGAGAGAGACACGCTGTTCCTGGATGTCCTGTCTTTCCTTATGACTGTGATGGGGGATGGGGCTGTAAAGGGGGTAGGGGGAGGAGGGAAGAGAGAAAAGCAAACCGAGTTTATCTCCGTTCCAATCCTTGGCAAAGAGTATTGTTTCCATTTAAAAGACTCATGAGCATAGGTCTGGACTTGTATCAACATTCAGCAGCTGGATTATAGTCCTAGTACACATGCCTTAAAGCACATTGGCCTCAAGGAAAATGAACTGAGATTTTCTGTTAGGCTGGCGGACCAGTGGCAAGACAGCAGATGGTTTCGATCTGCTACTTCAGTGTAAGCAATGAAACGCATTTGATATACTAAAACAGAGAACAACATAACAGCACTACCTATTTGTTATAATGCTGAAGTATTATCGTTCCCAGACTCTGCAGAACTCTGATAACATTTTCAAATGCAAGGGTAAAACGGTGCTGGGATGCATTACGTAGAAGGAGCTCCTGGTACCCACAGCTAGTAGTAACCATCAGCATACTGCAGAATACAGCCTCTTCTATAACATTATTTGGTAAGCTCTTCAGATACAAATTGCTCCCATGCACACTTCCCCTTTACCACATTTCTTTGAAAATGACATTTGAAGAAAAAAAAAATCTAAACTGCAAAATAACCTCATTTCTGATCTGTATCAATCAGTTAGGCATGACAACTGATTGCATCCACAGACTCACCCGCCACCCAAAACTTGGAAGTACTATCAAGGTTACAGAAAAAAAAATAAATCATAATTACCCAAGATTCTTGAACATCAGTTCAGCTGTAGACCACACAGCTCTATGCATTGTTCCAAGACCAGGCCTAAGTTTCCTGGACTCACTGAAAGCTATGCAATTTTTTAAATTATTTTTTCTGTTTCTTTTGGGTTGGCCTCTCACTCCAAACGCTTCTCTTCCATGGCTTTGGCCAAAATTCATCAGATGATAGCTTACAGATCACACATTAAAGGTCGTAACTGTCATTTAAAAAAAAGAATCTTTTACCAATAAACAGCCTTTTATCTTAATATGTAAAGCAAATGTGTTTACAAGTTCAACATTGTGCTGTCCTAATAAAAAGGCTCTAGCTGATCTAAACAATTTGATTTCAGCTGAATCCTATGAAGCTTTTATTGTTCATATAAAACTAGTTGCATTTTACAGGCATTACACATTTGCATGCATTAGCCAGTGCTCTTTCTGTTTGGGTTTTCATTCCTGCAAGAGAACTTTCAAAAGCCAGGGGGAAAAAAAAAAAAAAAAAAAAGCAGCTTTTAATTAAAATAAATTTGGGAAAATTCATTCTCATTCATTCTCTGTTTCGTTTTGCTAAACTTCCATCAAAACATACCTTCTAGTCTTCAGTTATAATCTAAAAGTCGACATCCTCCTTAAATTGAATAGAGCATCTAGAAAGCTGCATGCACCTGGACAAGCACATAGGCACATACACACTTCCATATTCCATATATGTTTTAGGCTGAAACACCTCCTCTGAGCAGCATTTTCACATGTAACATGGTTCACAATAGCTTTCCGAGAAGATTGAAAAGTTGCAAAAATTCTTTTTTTTTTTCCTTCTCTCCCCAGCAGGAAGAATTTGTCCTGAATTTAAATTACTGAAGTCAGGTTTTGGAGTTGTGTTTTTGTTTTGTCGGTTGTTGGGGTTTTTTTAAACAAACAAAGAAAAAAAGTAGAATGGGAAAGTGTCTCTTTCTATTTTACTCAGACTCACCAGATCTATGCTTGCTGAAGAGCTGAAAAGCATTAGGGCAAGGTATATGGGACTGGTTTTAACAACCATCCTTCAGTAATCCCACTTGAATTCCACTCAGGCACAAACCAGTGCTAGAGCCAAAATACAAAGTGGTTAGCTGGCTGGACTGCTCTACCGTAGCCAGCTCTACGTTAACTCATAAACTCATGCTTGCTGCTTTTATGCTCTTGTAAGTCATTTTTATGTCTTCTTTTTAAGTCAAGCTGTTCATCCTTTATTGTATGTGATTAGATTGCCAAGCCCAGTATCCCAGCTGGTAACCCTTCCCATTAAGGTAACATTAATACAGATTTTATGAATAATTAATATATGATTAACAGAAATGGTTTTTCCCCTAATAAATTATGGTAATTTGTGTTATAACAAATTCTCATGGCAGGCTGAAATAATCTTATATGCTCCAGTACAGATGTGCTTTTAAAAAAAGCTTTCTTCTAACACAGTATTAATTATTTTGAGCTCATTTACACACATCTCCGCAGATGCTACCAGTAACTTATCTCACAGCAGTTTATTAGAAAAGCATCTGCTTTGCAGTTATCAATAACATTATAAAACATTCATATACCTTTTCTAACCCTAGGGTTTCCAAAGCTGCTTAGAAATTATACATACAGCGTGTCTGGAAGACACAGCATCCCACCACATGGGCAAGTGGAAGGGAGATGGATAGTCACAGGGAACACAAAGTTTCAGGCACCTTTAATCCTACGCACAGAACAGATCCAAGTTCTGCAACACAATGCTGCATGACAGGCCACTTCAACAGCTAATGAACCTCTGATTTGTATTCCAAATCTGTTCAAACCATCATCGTCCTTTAACTATGTCGATTACAACAGTTACCTAGTTTTAAGGCATTAGTCTTCAGTTCATAGAGGAACAGTGTCTTCATATACTTCAGTGGTCAACTATTTATTTCTAGAAGCTAAACCACACTATTTGCATTCAGAGGGGAAGACATGCCTTTGTAACAATTTTAATTTTTAATCTCTTTTTTTTTCACCTTGTTAAACCATCTTGTGGATCATCTGAGCATTTTAATTTTGAAGTACACAGGATGTTAAAAATAAAAACTCAATATCCGGGTATAGACTTCATAATTTTCCTGCTGTTCCCATCATCTCTGTGTGCTCACATTGGATTTCACAAGCAGTAGTTGATTTTGATCCCTCTACATTTCTGTTGCACGGAACAGAGCCTCAGAGAGGACAGCCCTCACAAGAACCTCTTTCAGCAGTTCTTCTCCCGGCACTATGTCAGGCTTATGGTCCTTCAAAGCACCGCCAAAACTGAACTGTGCTGCTCCTGGGATGATTTCAGCATCGGGACCCTCCTTCTACAAAAAGGGGAGTAAGGAGGAGCAAGGAGAAATCCTGACGTGAGCATCCTCCACAGCCAACCTTGTAGACCCCCGTGGATGGGGGCAGAAAAAGGAGTCGGGATGCTGTGCCTGGAGGGGCTGCCATCCCACACCGTCCATCACAGCAGCATCCTGGCTTTCCCCACACCAGACTCCGCTGTAAGCTGAGAGACTGAGGTGGCCTGGCTCTTCTGCTCTGCCTGCTGTCCCACACAACTGATGTCTCTCTCTATATATATTTACTGAATTGTTTCTTTGCCTACATCCAGAACTGACCCCTCTGCTGACACAAGGGACTGACTGAGGAACACATGACAATTATGCTTTGGCTTGACCAAGATGGAATAATATTAAAAAAAAAAAAATTACCCACACAGCACATGGCATAAGCTTTCTTTGCTGGTCTGCAAGACTCTGGACTGTTAAAGTTTTAAATCTTAATGCAATCTTTTTTGGTTTTCCGCTATACCTGTTAGATAGGAAGGTTTGAAAAATGTTAGAATTCCTCGAACCCCAATTTAAGAAAACACCTTCTTCAGATGACTTCTAAGTTTATGCTTAAATCTACTGCAGTCAATAGATTTAAGATATAGGAAGACTTAAGGTAACCTGTAAGTATGTATTGTCCTGCACAGGGACAGTCATATAACAACAGAAGTGCCTTTCTGATCTACAGCCCCAGCTCAGGTCTGGGGTGCATTTAGGAGGAGTAGCTTGGCATTTGCACTGTGGAATTTCTTTCTTTATGTACACATCCCTAGAATACAATGTAATAAATCAAAGCACATAAACAGTGTTCTAAATACTGTCTTCTGATATATACTTATTTTAATAGGGTGGGGTTGTTTCTTTTTCTCAAGTGTTCTTGAATATAACCTATGAAACCTGAAAGGACTACCTCCAATCAAGTCAAGAAAGCTTTGTTAATCTCAGAGCAACCATTTCTGGCCCAAATTAGAAGTCAGCCTCAAGTTTCCATTTTGTAGCCCTAGTCCTCCCTCCTCACCAGAACAGCTCAGTGACTGTATTTTACTGTCTACTTGGACAAGTCTGAAATTCCGACAAAGAGGGAAACTGCAGTTAAAGGAAGTTAACATTATAAACCCTTAAACAATGAAGGCATCACCATGAGCAGGGATGCATATAAAGACTAAATAGACTATATGTAGATATAACGACTACATAAGCGGTGATGCTTATGAAAACTACAGATTTTAGTCTTCTGGATGAGGAAGAAGGAGCTGAGAACTTCCTACTTCCTGAACACCATTAAATAGCTACAGCAGAATGAGACACAGAATTCAAAAATCAGGCTACAGAAAGGAACAGAAGTACTTCATATTTAGAATATCCATTTTTCATTGCAGTTCCAGGATTTTCCTTTCTTATATTATGAGACAATTAGATTGTACAACAACAACAGAATTCTGGAACAAATATTTCAAACACCTGCAGCTCCCATTGACAAAAAGAATTTAGTCGCTACAGGTCAGCCAAAAAGGACACATTATGAAGCTTATTTAGATAAACAGAAGTTTTAAAAATTATATTAAAGCATCAATATCAACACAAAGGTAGGTTAAACTAATTTATCATTTAGAAAACATTAATTTCAAGGTAAAACTTAAAAAGAGTACTTTTTTTAGACTAAGCAGTTTCAGTGATTTTTTTATAAATCCTGTAGCTCATACACCTCTATATATGTATATTTTTATTGGTGTTTTGATTAATGTATTACTACTGTTAACCGAATAAGAGTTGTGGGGTTTTTTTAAATTAACTTTAGGCTTGTGTGGCCATGCGTTAAGAGGTTTATTCTCCATAGTCACAGGCAATGCGTACAGAGGCATTTTTATGCATCAGATGGTTACTATTTGTCTGGTACTACAGTCTAAC